CGGGTGGGGCTGCAGGGGCAGGCAGAGAACAGCAGAGCCTCCTTCTTACTCTGCCTTTGGGCTCTGTTGTTAAAATTGGAGCTTTTCCTGCTGATTAACAACGCTTTGGCCATTCCCCGCACACAGCGTGGACTTGTACCTGCTTGACAAGGTGCTGCTCACTGCAAATCTACAAACACCCTGCAGGAAATTTCCAGGGCTGACACAGCTGCCGGATTCATTCACATTTCCACGCTCCAATGATTTTTTTTTTTCAATTGGTATTTTTAGCAAAAGGATTTGTTACTACACATGTTCCCTGCTCCACAGAACAGAGAAGTGGAAACATCAGCTAATTAAAGCCAGGGGAAGATGGAGAGAGAGCAGATGAGCCAGAGGCTCCCAGTGGCAGTGCTGAGCCCAGCCAAGTGCTGCTCCAGAATGTGCTGGAGAGTAAATCAACAAAGCAGAGGCTGCTGAGGGTCCCAGCCTGCCCCAGCCCCAGCCCCAGCCCTCCCTGCTGTCCCACACTGGCCTGCAGCACGTGAGGGATGGGGATGCACCAGAGCTGCTGGAGCCTTGGGACAGCCAGGGATTGAGGGCAGGATTGGTGCCAGTGCTTCAGGAGCTGTGCTGGCACAGCATCGGCAGAGTTTAAACGTGGTATTAATGAATGAAGTGGGTTTGATTGTAAACTAATGAATTCGTTTTAATTTGAAGTGGAAGCTTTAGAGCTGTGCGGGTTTTGTCGAGTTGTGCCCGGTGCTGAGGTTGCTCTGAGAGGGAGGGAACCAGAGCTGGGGTAATTTTGTTCTTGCACTGCCAGCAGGGTGTGAGTGAGCAGCAGCACAGGGCAGGGGTGTCCTGACAGCAGCAGGGCTCCAGTCTGGGCAGTCCAACAGGCAGAGCTGGCTGCCTGCAGCCCCCGTGGGTCAGGAAAGTGTCAGCACCCACCAGGAGAAATCTCCAGCTCCTCTGAATCAGGAGCCCAGAAAGAACCTGTTCTTTTTCCACATTCCTCTCCCTCCAACAAATATAAATAGCTGCAACCCAAAATAAGGTGTGATTTCACACAGATGGCATGAAGGATATGCCAAGAGTCAAATGATGCAGAGAAAACTTCCCAGTGCCCTGGAAGGACTTTGGCAGCTTCACAGCCCTGCTGAGCCTCACCCTGTTCCTAAACACGAGGGCACAAGTGACTCAGGCCTGGCCCTGAAGGAAAAGCATCCACACGGCGTCACTGATAAGATTCCTGTCAAGGTAAGGAGGTTTTTTTGACTCTGTGGGACTCCTGGGCACTTTCCTTCACCCAAATTGCAGGCACAGCCTGTGTGCTGATAAATCAGTTATGGAAAATAGCTTGTAGTTAATGGCTCCTGTTGCACAGCACTCATCAAACCTTCCTATGATCAAAGCAGGCTCTATTTATTTATTAAATAAATATTTATTATCTATTATTTATATAGTATTTATTATCTCTGTTTCACAGAAAGGGGCTGGAGAAGGGAGCTGAAGTGTTCCCATAGCTTGCTTACTATGAACACCAGAAGTGAGAAGGCAGCTCTCAAGCTTTAATAGTTCCCCAATATTTTCCTCAAGACTTTAATTTAAAATAATAGACAAGGGCACTGGGATCTTGGACAACCTGATTTTGTTAACTGCTCTGCTGTATTCCTGTTTCAGGGAGGAGCTGGTGCTCAGACAGCTGAAACAGCAGGAGTGATGTCACCCAATTTGAAGGAATTTTATTTGGAGCAAACCTGATGGCAGTTTTAAAGCTGGATGCAAAGTTTGATTTAAAATGCAGGCAGACATTTAATTGCATGGCAGCTGCAATTTTCCAAACAGCAAGCTGTCAACTTTTTAGTTCCTCTTCTGGAGAGTTTCCTTGGCAGGGAGAGGCTCCCAGGGCTGGCCCATGGGTGGGTTCTGCAGTGAAATCAGCCACACACAGATGATTCAGCACTGGTGTGTCAGTCTGATTGCTCAGAACCTCCCCCAGCTCCAGGCTCTGTGCCCCAGGCAGCAGCAGCAGAGAACTTCTGCTCTCCTTGCTCTCCTCCTCCTGCTCTCCTTGTTCTCCTCTCCTCCTCCTGCTCTCCTCCTCCTCCTCTCCTCCTCCTGCTCTCCTTGTTCTCCTCTCCTCCTCCTGCTCTCCTCCTCCTGCTCTCCTTGTTTTGTTCTCGTTCTCCTTCTGCTCTCCTCATTCTCCTCCTATTCTCCTCGTTCTCTCCTCGTTCTCCTCCTCCTGCACTCCCCATTCTCCTCCTCCTGCTCTCCTCATTCTCCTCTCCTCGTTCTCCTCCTCCTGCTCTCCTCCTCCTGTTCTCGTTCTCCTCCTGCTCTCCTCATTCTCCTCCTCCTGCTCTCCTCGTTCTCCTCCTGCTCTCCTCTTCAGCCCCAGCCCCTCCCCAGAGGAGAAGGGCAAACCCCACACTGCGGGGTCAGAGAGGTTTCAGCCTCCCTGGGGGTGGCTGCCCCAGAGCAGATCCCAGTTCCAGAGCTGGATATTCTCCAGGAGAGCAGGAGGGGCACAGGACAGTGTCCCCAAAGTGTCCCAATGGCCCCCCCGTGCTGTGCTCAGGGAAAGGTGCTGACTGGAGATGTACCACGGAACAGGATGTTCCTTTTCTCAGCGCTCTCCCCAGAAACTGCTCTTTTGATAGGAGTTTACTCACAACTTCAGAATTAGGTTTGTCCTTCAGAAATTCCAGTTATTACTGATTTTCTCCCCAGACTGCTCTTTCAGTCTACTGCATCCATGGAAAAGATCTGTGTAATACTGGACAGAAATATTTGTAAAGTCAGCTTAATAACTTGTATATTTCAATGCATGAAAGATTCTGAAGGGATGTAAAACTCTCTTTACAGCTGAGTCCTGATATCTCAGGTACCAAATTTCATAGAATCCCAGAGTGGTTTGGCTTGGAAAGGATCTTGAAGCTGATCTCATCCCATTCTGATATTCAGAGTTCACCCCCACACTAGAAGGATGCCATTTTTTGGATCATTCCCTGACTGTGTCATTAAGGGCAGGAAAATCCTAGTTAAAACATACTAAAAACACTCTAGTAAGAATTTTTAAAAGGGAAAATAGTTGTACTTTAAATCTATCCAGACTTTACATTTTAAATAACAGAGATAACTTTTTGTTTGGGAAAGTTTAGGAGAGTAAGGAGAAATTTTTCTTGCAGTCAAGGAGTTGTTGTTTGTCAGCCTGTAACAATATCAACTTTTACAACCATGAATTACAGGTATATCTTTTTTATCCAAAGAGATTTTATTTTCTAGGCAACAAAAGAGAACATCCAAGCAGTGATAGTGACACGTCTCCCTCCAAGGGAACTGATTCCCTGGTAGCAGATTCCCAATGCAAACATGATCTAGCAAAGCTCAACACTCTGGATTAAATAAAGCTCATTTTTCAAATACTGCAACTGAGAAATACCAGGGGAAAAAAAAAAAAAAAAAAAAAAGGAAAAGGTTTCACACACTTTGAGAAATCCATCCAGGACACAAAGCTAAAATCTAAGGGTTGCTCCCCAAAGTCAAGGCAGACAATAAATATGCATCTTCCACTTGTGTTTCAGAGACACCTGGTGCACCTCTCTGAGGTAGGTATTGTGTCCGTGTCAGAGGGCAAAGGGGAGGATCACTCCTGGGCCCAGGCAGCCCCTGCTCCCCTGGGACAGCCGGGAGCACGCCTGGGCCTTGCCAGTCTTGGTCTCGTTCCTAGCCACAATTTCAGCTCAAGTAGTTATAACACAGTGTCATCTTCAAGTTCCTTTGAACTGTCAGGTATTTCTGGAGGTTTTTAAGCATCAGCTTCTACAGGGCTGGGTTTAGTGTTGGGGTTTGGGGGGTTTTTACCTTCCTTTCCTAATGACAGGCTAAAAGCAGAGTGGGGTTTAACACTGGAAGCTAAGTGGCTTTCTACAGGGAACACCCAACAGTGCTAATGTGTGTTTTAATACTGAATTAAAAACAAACCCAGGTCCACAGTGCTCTGGGTGATCCTAGGCTGTTTAATTATTCATGCCTTAATTCAGCAAAGCACTTAAGTAATTATGTTCTTTCTTCAGTAAAACCCTCCTGTATTTCAAGGTCCAGCTGGGAGCCTCTGCTGAGAACTGGAAATATGATTTTTGCAGAAAAGGTGGTGTTGCTGCACCAGTTTGGTCAGGTGCCTGAGGGAACAGAGCCCTTCCAAACTGGGTTTTAGGTTAAACCCACGTGCAAAGTGGGTTCATTTCTGCCTCAGTCTGAGGATGCCCCTTCTTGTTCCCCAGTCTAAAAGTGCAAGGAAGGTCAGTCCAAACAGTAACAGAAGAATGGCAGGCAAAGGATATTTTAAAATTCAAGAAACAAGGATATGTTGCAGGCATTTCAAAGAAAAAAAAAACAAAAATCCCCTTCAGTAATATGCACCTTTACAGCACCTTTTAACAGCCCTCAAAAGCACTTGCTGTTAAGCTTCACAACCCCACTGTGAGGTAAAATATTCCAATTAAACCAATTTCATCCTTCCCTGATTCTGAACAGTCCAAGGAGTGGGGCACTTCCCCCAGCTTATTTTCATCTGAATATTCAGCTGTGATATTTCATTATCACAATGAAAGTCTTGCTACTCCACAGTCAGTGGTGACAAATCAAACACATTAAGGCAGAAAGCAGATGGAATTTCAAGCCTCCCTTCTGGCTCTGGCCTTCAGAGGGCAAAACATTTTACCAGCAAAGAGTGAGAACTCAACCTTAAAGTGCTTATTCACAGTATTTGGAAACTGGAACAGCTTAGTAACACCATGGCCGTGATTGGCTCTGCTCAAGTAAAATATTCAAAGTATTTAACAGATGCAAATTAAGTCACTTCCCTAACTACTCACTTCCCTCTTGCAGGAATTTCCAATGCTATTATGAAGAAGAATCCCAAGTATTCCAGGAAGCATGCTTATGCTCTGATGCAGTGTAAACACCAGGGGGTTCAGAGTTATTTTTCAAGCAACTAAAAACTACCTACGGAGGATTAATAAGTTTTATTCAACACTTATCCATCTAGTCATTAATTTAAAGGCTACCTTAAAGCTTAGAGGCCATTGCTTTCCCTAAAGTTCTCTGCACACAAACTACACAGTCTATTCCTGATGGTGCAGGGCAGCTCAGAGATCCTCTTTCCACTACAAACTGTATTTTGACTTTGTACTTGGTATTTCCATTACCAATCATGCACCACACGAGCAGTTTCCCCTCTGAGAGCTGCACATATGTGCAGAGCCCAGTTCTCAGTGTAAGAGATGATGTGTGTGTGTTTCCCAAAGCCTCAGGTTCATTGAGTTACCCTGAAAACGAACATTCAGCACCTCAGAGGTGGATTTCACACCAGTGCTGGACGAGCCTGGCTGTGTGTGTCTGCTCAGATCACTCACACGCACACAGAAGGTGATGCAATCAAGGTGTGGCTGCCACTGTCCACCACCAGCCCGAGTGCCATCCCTACTCCCCACCCCTACCCCCAAACCTGCGCGTTGGCCACCACGAAGCTAATTCGCTTTTCGAGCTCTGTGAACGGAATTTTATCATTACAAACAGCTTATCTGGGACCCCAGAATCTGATTCCGGAGCGCTGAGGTAGTCGATGGCACCCTCCTCCTCCTCCTCAGGCCGAGCTCACACCTCCCCGAAGTTGGTGTGCCCCGTCTCCCTGGCGTGCTCCCTGGCCTCCAGCTGCCCCGTCAGTCCCTTCTGGCACACCATGCAGCGCAGGGCGAAGCGGTTCACGTCCGTGAACTGCCTCTTCCTGCGCGCCTCGTCCGCCAGCTCCAGCGCCTGCGCCAGCACCACGTCGTCGCTGCTGGGGAAGATGGTCTGGGGAGGGAGGTCGGAGCCGGGCAGGCGGCGCTCCAGCGGGTCGTAGTGGATGCCGTCGTAGATGAGCAGCACGCGCCGGCTGTAGCCCGCGTCCTCGCCGAAGCGGTCGATGCGCACGGTCTGCGTGTCCACCACGCAGATCTCGCACTGGTAGAACTTGGAGAGGATGGACACCTCGATGGCGCCGCCCCACGTCTCCTCCCTGCGGATCCAGTCGCAGTACTCCCGGTTGCTCTTGCCCAGCACGGCCTCGCAGTACGACTCGGGGTCGCTGGCCACGATCTGGGCGATGAGGTTGCGCATCTCCGGGGCGCAGCCCGGGTCGTACACACCGCCCTCCACCACGTAGAACACGCTGGTGAACAGGCAGGAGTTGTCTGCTGGCACCACCCTCCTGGCCAGCACAGGCACGGCTTCCCTCACGGGCTGGGACATGGCTTTTTTGGCGACCACCGGCGAGCCGGGCTCGGGTTTGGAGGTGTCCTCTTCCACTATGAGAGTGTCACCTGCCAGAGGGGGGGAGGGACACAAAGGGGACAACTGAAGCCGCTGCTGCTCCTCCAACGCAACAACGCGGCCGTGCTGTCATTGCCGGAGGTCACGGAGGAGAACCGTGGAATGGTTTGGGGTCTTAAACACCACCCAGCCCCGCCCGCCCGTTTTTACCCCGGCTCGGCGTCCCGCCGGGAAACAGCCCCGGCCAACAGCCGCCGGCAGCACAACGGCCCCCGCGGGACTCACCTGGCGTGGCCCGGACCCCGTCCCCTCACGCCCCGCGCGCCTCTCCCTCGGCACCCCCGGGACGCGGCCAAAGCCCCGGCGGCGCCGGCAGCGAGAGCACGAACCGGCCCGACGGCCGCCCGAGGAGGGGCGTGTGCGCCACGGCCTCTTTAATTAACGCGATTGCAGGCGGCGCGGCCCGCAGAGCGCCGCCCTGCTCCCCGCGGGGCCCTCACCCGAGTGGATGCCGAGCTCGCCGAGCCGCCGCTCGCCGTCGCTGAGGTCGAGGCTGCGCGGCGGGAAGCCGTGCAGGAGGCGCTGGGCGGGCGCGGGCACTCCGGTGAGCGCGGCGAGCGCGGCCTGCATGTCGCGGAGGCGGGAGTGCGGCGACAGCCCCGGCAGCGCGTGCGAGCCGCTCCGGGCCTTGCAGCGCAGCCGCAGCATCCTCGGGGCCGCCGCCGCACCGGCCGCCGCCGCTTCCGCTTCCGGCCGTGCCCGCCCCGCTCTCGCGAGAGCACGCCGATCCCACCCCCCCCACCAACCCCGAGCGGGCGGCCAATCAGAGTGCGGGCGGGGCGGGGCGCGCGCGGCGCCCGCTCATTTGCATAGCGCGCGGCTCATTTGCATAGAGCCGGGCGCCGCGGCCGCGTCATCGGCACGGCACGCCGGGCGTCTGATTTGCATACAGGAGCTGGCCCCGCCCACTTAATTTGCACGCAGCCGGACACCCCCTGCCGTCTCATTTGCATGGCGCGAGGCGTCGCCGTGAATTCCCGCCCCCTCCCTTCCCCGCTGATTACCTCCCGTTTGATTTGCATAGCCCGCCTGAATTTGCATAGAGGCGCGAGCTCTCCCGTCTCATTTGCATCGCGCGCGCGCGCTCCCGTTCCCCTCTCGCCCCGCCCACCGCCCTTTCGGCCTCATTTACATACAGCGCGCGGTTGCCCTGCCCTCCCGGTCTCATTTACATACAGCGCGCGGCTGCCCCGCCCTCCCAGTTTATTTACATACAGCGCGCGGCTCTCCCTCCCTCCCTGTCTTATTTGCATACAGCGCGCGGCTGCCCCGCCCTCCAGATCTCATTTGCATACAGCGCGCGGCTCTCCCTCCCTCCCAGTCTCATCTGCATACAGCGCGGCAGCTCCGCCCTCCAGATTCATTTGCATACAGCGCGCGGCTGCCCCGCCCTCCCGGCCTCATCTGCATACAGCGCGCGCCCCCGCGCGCGTGACGCGGGCCCGTTTTCCCGCCCCGCCGCTCCCCTCTTCCCGCGTGTGCGGTGCCCGCTCCCGGTTTCCGTTCCCGCTCCGCCGCTCTGCGGGCGCGGGGCGCGGCGCGGAGCCATGTCGGCGGCGCCGCGGGGCTGCGGCGGGGCCCCGCGGGGCCGGGCCGGCGACAAGCAGTGCTGTGAGTAGCCCCGGTGCGGAGGGACGGAGCCGGTAACGGGAGGGGGACGGGGCTGCGCGCGGTGCCCCCGAGCCTCCTGCCTGTCCCCTCCCGCCGCTCCCCGGCTGCCGCGTCCATCCCTCTCCCCTGCTTTTCGCCCCAAATCCGCCTGTCCCGGGCGCTTCGGGAGCCGGCTCGGGCTGCTGGCTGGGGGAACGTGACCGCTTTGTTAAAAACATCTTTCGTTCGCCCTTGGCGGCGCTGCCCGGCGGTGGATGCTGTTAACGCTGCGAGCCCCGTTAGGCAGCGGTGCTGCCGGTCCGCCTCGTTAGCGGACACCGGCAGAGCACAGAGTGCTCGCAGCCGGTTATTAACCACGGGGACACACGGCGAGCCCGTCCTGCGATGCTTTATCCCGGGGTGATGCTGTGCTGGGTGACACTTTATGCTCTGCAGCGCCCCTGATGCTGTTTTGGGGTGGTTTGGGGTTGTTTTGGGGTGTTGTTTTTTTTTTTGCAGCATGGGCTTCCTACATGACCAACTCCCCGACGCTGATCGTGATGATCGGGCTGCCTGCGAGGGGCAAGACCTACATGTCCAAAAAGCTCACCCGCTACCTCAACTGGATCGGGGTGCCCACCAAAGGTGGGTGGGTGTGCGGGGGGACACCCCTGCCCCGTGCTGTGCCACCTGCCAGTGGAACGCCCTCACCCTGTCCTCTCCTGTGTGTGAAGTGTTCAATTTAGGGGTGTACCGGCGCGAGGCAGTGAAGTCCTACAAGTCCTACGACTTCTTCAGGCACGACAACAAGGAGGCCATGGAAATCCGCAAGTGAGCCCTGGCACGGGCTGGGTGGCTCCCTGCAGGGCTGGGGTCTTGGCAGGCTGCGTGTGAGGAGCAGAAAATAACCCAGAGTCCCCAGGGAAGGGAGAAGGAACGGCACAGCCCGTGCAGGCATCCTGTGTGGGAGTTTGGGGCTGGCACAAAGCTCAGGGGCTGCAAGGGTCGGGTCACAGCGAGGTGCCCCAGGATCTGTGGGGCTCTTAGGGCAGCTCAGGGTGTGAGGGAGGTGTTTGAATCCCTCCCTGCTGGCTCAGAAGCTGTGCTGTGGGAATGCTTTCCATCAGCTGTGACCATCCCTATTTCTGTCCTGCAGACGCTGTGCCCTGGTGGCTCTGGAGGATGTGAAGTGTTATCTCCTGGAGGAGTGCGGGCAAATAGCTGTAAGATCCTCTGCACTAAAAATAGTCTTGTATCAGTTCAAAGCTGCCGGCAGCGTTCAGGGACCTGATTTGGGGTGTAAAAGTCTGAAGATAAACTTGCTCAGTGCTCCTTCCTCGTTTTCTGCCAGGTGTTTGATGCGACCAACACGACTCGGGAGCGCCGGGACCTGATCTTAAATTTTGCCAAGGAAAATGCTTTCAAGGTAGTGCTTTAATTGTGTGTGGGATTAATTGTGTGTTTAATTTGTGGCTCCCTGGCACAGGAGCTCTGGAGTTTGCCTCTGAAATGTGCTTCCTTGCCTCCTCCCTAGGTGTTTTTCGTGGAGTCTGTCTGTGATGATCCAGAGGTCATCGCTGCCAATATCCTGGTGGGTGCTGCCCTTCCCAGGCTCAGCTTGGGCTCTCGGTGCAAGGTCGTGGGCTCGGGGAGCTCCTGGGGATCTCTGCAAACGCCTCCCTCTCACGTTTCACCTGTGGAATAAGCAGCTGGGATTTGCAGGTTTATTAAAAGCCGGAGATGCCGTTATGTGAGAATGTGGAAATCGAGTGGAGCCGGGAATGGGTGACCTTGGAGCGCTGTGCTGGCCAGGGAGGGAGGGCAGAGCTCTGAGCCAGCGGTGTCTGTCAGGGCCAACCACTTCAGTGCCTTAAGAGTCGCCCTTTGTTTCCTCTCCAGGAGCAGGTTTTTCCTCAGGGCAGCGTCAAACAATGCGGATTTGTTTCAAAAGGGGGGGAATGTTATTCATCTTTTGTTCCCTCTTCAGTTTGCTTAACTCACAAGGTCTGTTGGGCAGGAGGTGAAAGTTTCCAGCCCTGACTACCCGGAGAGGCACAGGGAGAATGTGATGGACGATTTCCTGAAGAGGATCGAGTGCTACAAGGTCACCTACCAGCCTCTGGACCCTGATGTTTATGACAAGTAAGCAAATCCCTTTGTCCTTGGGCACATGAGCTGCTTTGCTGTCAGGATGCTCCAACACCTCTGCTCTCCCCAGGTGTGGCTGTGTGCAGGGAATCACAGGTCCCAAGTGAGATTTGGGGGGATTTTTGTCTGTGTGCTGCAGAATCACAGGATGGTTTGGGTTGGAAGGGATCTCAAAGCTCATCTGTGACAGCCATGGGCAGGGACACCTTCCACTATCCCAGGCTGCTCCAAACCCTGTCCAAGCTGGCCTTGGTCCCTTCCAGGGATCCAGGGGCAGCCTCCCTGTGCCCACCCTCCCAGGGAAGGATTTTTAAGCCCAGCAGTCCTAGAGGAGCAGTAGCTGGGTGACACCCCCAGGTGCTCGTGCCTCATTTTTCAAACCACCCGTGTGGGTGTTCTTATTTTATGTCCACTCCAGAGATCTTTCCTTCATTAAAGTGATCAACGTGGGCCAGCGGTTCCTGGTCAACCGAGTGCAGGACTACATCCAGAGTAAAATTGTCTATTACCTGATGAACATCCACGTGCAGCCACGCACCATCTACCTGTGCCGGCACGGGGAGAGCGAGTACAACCTGGTGGGCAGGATTGGAGGGGACTCTGGCCTCTCAGCCAGGGGGAAGCAGGTATGTGTGTGCCCAGCAGCCCCTGGGGGCTGTGCCTGTGCCTGGGAGCCAGGCCTGATGCCTTGGGGTGGTTAATTAATACAGATGACGCCTTAAGTTTTAGTTTTGGTGTTTCTCAGAGTCTGTGCTCGGTGTGGGACTCCTGACCTCCCCGGGGCTTTTCTCCCCAGTTTTCCCAGGCACTGAAGAAGTTCATTGAGGAGCAGGAGATCGTGGACCTGAAGGTGTGGACGAGCCAGCTGAAGAGGACAATCCAGACAGCAGAGTCCCTGGGGGTGCTCTACGAGCAGTGGAAGATCCTCAACGAGATCGATGCTGTGAGTGAGAGCCTGCCTAAAAACCTCAGCTTTTCTAGGTGGGGAATAATGCTTAAAACCAAATTAACCACCATAAACCCTGATTTATGTTGGAGCCCTGGATGCTGAGAGTTTCCAGCGTTCTGTGCAGAGCACTGCATTTGAGCTGAGGCTGTGGAGAAGGCTTCCAGAATTGGTTAATAGCACTGGGATTGTGGGTGTGCAGTTGGTTAGAAGTGTGCAGTGTCACAGAGTAAAAAACTTAAAGTTTAGGGTTTCAGAATATAGAAATAAATATGAAGCAAGAGGTTTTGGGGCAGAGACAGGTTGTTCTTTACCTTATTCTTCCTTCTTCTTCATGGGTTTGGGTTGGGGAATAATGTTTAAAGCCAAATTAATCACCATAATCCCAGCTGATTTATGTTGGAGCCCTGGATGCTGAGAGTTTTAAACTTTCTGTGCTGAAGGGCACAGACCCACAAGAGAGCACTGCATTTGGCCTGGGGCTGTAAAGAAAATTTCCAAAATTGATAAATAGCACTGGGATTACAGATGTGAAGTTGGTTACAAGTGTGTAATATCACAGGGTGGAAAATTGAGAGTTTGGGATTTTAGAGTATAGAAATAAATATGAAGCAAGATGGAGGTTTTAGGGCGGAGACAGGTTGTTGTTCTTTACCTTCTTCATGGGTTTGGGTGGGGAATAATGTTTAAAGCCAAATTAATCACCATAATCCCAGCTGATTTATGTTGGGACCCTGGATGCTGAGAGTTTTAAACTTTCTGTGCTGAAGGGCACAGACCCACAAGAGAGCACTGCATTTGACCTGGGGCTGTAAAGAAAATTTCCAAAATTGATAAATAGCACTGGGATTACAGATGTGAAGTTGGTTACAAGTGTGTAATATCACAGGGTGGAAAATTGAGAGTTTGGGATTTTAGAGTATAGAAATAAATATGAAGCAAGATGGAGGTTTTAGGGCGGAGACAGGTTGTTGTTCTTTACCTTCTTCATGGGTTTGGGTGGGGAATAATGTTTAAAGCCAAATTAATCACCATAATCCCAGCTGATTTATGTTGGAGCCCTGGATGCTGAGAATTTTAAACTTTCTGTGCTGAAGGGCACAGACCCACAAGAGAGCACTGCATTTGGCCTGGGGCTGTAAAGAAAATTTCCAAAATTGATAAATAGCACTGGGATTACAGATGTGAAGTTGGTTACAAGTGTGTAATATCACAGGGTGGAAAATTGAGAGTTTGGGATTTTAGAGTATAGAAATAAATATGAAGCAAGATGGAGGTTTTAGGGCGGAGACAGGTTGTTGTTCTTTACCTTCTTCATGGGTTTGGGTGGGGAATAATGTTTAAAGCCAAATTAATCACCATAATCCCAGCTGATTTATGTTGGAGCCCTGGATGCTGAGAATTTTAAACTTTCTGTGCTGAAGGGCATAGAGAACACTCCACTGGGGCTGTGGAGGTTTCCAAAATTGATAAATAGCACTGGGATTGTGGGTGTGGAGTTGGTCAGAAGTGTGTAATAATATCACAGGCTGGAAAATTTAGAGTTTGAGGTTTTAGAATATAGAAATAAATATGAAGCAAGGTGGAGGTATTAGGACAGAGACAGGTTGTTCTTCTTTACCTTTTTCCTTCTTTTCCATGGGTTTGGTTAGTATTTTACAATTAAATAGAAAAAGTTCACACTATGGGCTTTGAGAGATCATTTATTGGGTTAAAAAGGAAAATAATCTAGGTATCATTTCTTAATTAAATAGTTTAGCCTTAAAAAACCTTATAACAAAAAATCATTTACTATTTTATACCTTACTAATAAAAGACTACAGAACTCATGGCTGTAAGGCTGTAGCACTAATAAGAAACAATAAACACCTCAGTCTAAATGTCTCCAGTGCCTTCAATCTTAACCCCAGCAAAAGTAGGAAAAACAAACAAAACCCCACAATCTCTGTTGATTTACAGCCATGTTTTTGTATCACAGACCTCAGCCTTCCAGGGTGGGGTTTGGGGTGGTTGGGTAGAGGGCTGGGAGTGTTGAGAGCTGCCAGGTGTTGCTGGGGACATTCCAGGTGGTGTGGAGGAGGAAAAGAACACTGAGCATCCCAGACATCTGTCACACCCTCCTGGCTGGGCAAAGGTTGCTGCTCCCACTCTGATTCCCTCAGGAAATTGCAGGGTGGTTGCTGGGGAAGCAAGGGCTCATTTTTCATCCCTGGCAAACACCAGGGATGTCATCCTTTTTAGTTCTGAGATAAAACCAAAGCCCAGCCTCTTCAAACCACCCTGGAACCACACTGGGGGCAGGGCTGGGTCAGATGCAACACCTGAAATTTCCATGCCATAAAGGGAACCCTGATCTCAGCCTCTGCTGCTCCTTCCCTCTCTGTTTGCCCTCTGATGAAATGAGGTTTGTGGTAACCAGTTTTTGCTTCCCTCAGGGGGTCTGTGAAGAAATGACCTATGCAGAAATTGAAGCCAAGTATCCAGAAGAGTTTGCCATGAGGGATCAGGAGAAATATCTTTATCGTTATCCTGGAGGGGAGGTGAGGACCCTAAGAAACAACAACACACAGTGCAGTGAAACAAACATTTATGTGTGGGGTTGAAGTTAAAACTGACTCACTTTGAGGTTATTCTGCCAGTGTTTGTATGCAAAATTGCAAATTTTAATCCTGATGAAAACATTAGGATCCCCAGTTCTTTTCTGGGGGAAATGTTTCTGCAATATTTGAATGCAAAATTGAAAATTTTCATCCTCATGAAAGCATTAGGATCCTCAGTTCTTTTCTGGGGGAAATGTTTCTTGATTTTCCTCACTGGGGATCAGGAGAAATACCTTTATTATTATCCTGGAGGGAGAGGTGAGGACCCTAAGAAAGAGCAACACACAGTGCAGTGAAACAAACATTTATTTGTGGGGCTGAAGTTAAAACTGACTCACTTTGAGGTTATTCTGCCAATATTTGAATGCAAAATTGCAAATTTTCATCCCGATGAAAAAATTAGGATCCCCAATTCTCTTCTGGGGGAAATGTTTCTTGATTTCCCTCATTGGGGTGTGCAGATGGTGCTTTTCCATCCATTAATTTGGCCTCTTGCTGGGCGCTGCCCTCAGACAGCATCAGGGGGTTTCTGCATCCCAGGCCTGAATTGTCACTGAGAAACCATCTGGGGAGCAGAATTACCCTGGGTGTGGCCTGGAGTCATTGCTGGCTTCACCTCACAACCTGTTTAAATGAATCATTTACTATTTTATTTGGTTTTTTTCCTGACTGCACTCATTGAGCCAGTATTTGAATGCAAAATTGCAAATTTTAATCCTGATGAAAACATTAGGATCCCCAATTATCTTTTGGTGGAAATGTTTCTTGATTTCCCTCATTGGGGTGTGCAGATGATGCTTTTCCATCCATTAATTTGGCCTCTTGCTGGGCGCTGCCCTCAGACAGCATCAGGGGGTTTCTGCATCCCAGGCCTGAATTGTCACTGAGAAACCATCTGGGGAGCAGAATTACCCTGGGTGTGGCCTGGAGTCATTGCTGGCTTCACCTCACAACCTGTTTAAATGAATCATTTACTATTTTATTTGGTTTTTTTCCTGACTGCACTCATTGAGCTCCCAGTAATCTGAGCCCTCCCACGGTCTGAGGTTCTGACACTGAATTTCACTTTCTGCTCTTGCCTTTTTTTGGGTCTTTTTTTTTTTTTTTTACTATTTTTACCACCTGACCCATAACCTCCTTTAACTTTCTGCTGCTTTAACTGATATTTCCCTGAAAGTGACGCTGTTAATTGCCACCTCTGTTTAACCCTGTGTTTACACAACCCCTTGACCAGTTCCTGTTTGGTTTTCCAGTCCTACCAGGACTTGGTGCAGCGCCTGGAGCCAGTAATTATGGAGCTGGAAAGGCAAGGCAACGTCCTGGTGATCTCCCACCAGGCTGTTATGAGGTGTCTCGTGGCTTATTTTCTTGACAAGAGTGCAGGTACAAAAATAAAGGGATGGCTCCTCTCCCTGCTCCCCCTCACGGGGTTTTTGGGAGGGTGGTTTGGAATGACTGGGTGGATTTTAAAATTTTTTTTTTAACAAGGTGTTTTTTTTAACAAGCTGTTTAAAAAAAGGAGGAAAGGAAATGTTTCAGCAGTGCTTTAACCCTTGCACTGCAGCAGTGCAAGGAGCTCCCTGGGGATGTGTTTTGCTGCCCAGATGTTGTTTTGGAGCTGTTTTCAGCAGCAGTGCTTACAGAATGTATAAAGGACTGGTTTTTAATGCAAAGAAAAATAAAAATTCATCATTTTCTGATAAATTAAAGAGCCTCAGTGGCCTGGAAAGGCTGGCAGGAGTGCTCCACCCCAGGGAAATGCTGATTTCTTGCACAGCACACACACCTGGAAGGTTCCAGTCTGCTGCAAGCTCCACTGAGTGGCACTAGAGCTTCATAAAACTTCTAATGACATTAATAAACTTCTAACAAACTTCATAAACTTTTCAATACAGCTCTGAATAAATCTCCTGTGGGCCCATGGCAGCTGTTGCTGAGGTGCTTTCCCAGTCATGTGCCACTGGAGAGGTTCCCTCTGGCTGGCCCTGAGCACTGGGAATGGAATTATGGAATTATTTGGGTTGGAAAAGCCCTTTTGGAGGGTGGAGTCCAACCCCTGAGCCAGCCTGGCCTCCATTTCCAGCTGCTGCATTTTGATTTTGTGTCTCAGGCTGCCAGCAGTGCCTGGGTGCCATCCCCTGGCTCTCACCCCCAGGACAATTCCCTTCAATCCTGGAATGGTTTGGGTTGAAAGGACCCTTAAAAGGGTTCAGTCCAACCCCTCTGTGCTGGGTGGGGACATCCCACTGCTGCCGTGGGGCTGGGGAGGGGACAGGGGGGCTGTGGCATCCCAGGTGACCCCAGAGCACCTTTCTGTGCCCTAGATGAGCTGCCCTACCTGCGCTGCCCCCTCCACACCATCCTCAAGCTCACACCTGTTGCCTATGGTAAATAACTGCTTTATTTTCATTTTTTAATTTTCATTCCTCTCCTGGTTTGTGTGTGGGGATGTTATGGGCAGGTTTGGGTCCATGTGTGGCAGCACCTGGCCGTGCTCTAGAAGCTTCTGGTAATGCATAAAAAGGTTATTTCCTGGTTAACATATAAAAAGTTAGCACAGAAAAGGGTTCTGGAGGGGTGGGGGAGCAGATGTGGAGGTGCAGGGTCTTCTCCCCTGGCCTCTCTTTTAAACAATTGGATTTTTCCTGTGGGTGAGGAAGGCTGTGCCTCCAAATCTGGGGTGCAGTCAGTTAAAATTGGCTTTTCTGTGCAGCCCAAACAACTCAGGGTTGTGCTCTCACACTTAAAAACCACCAAGTGTAAAATTCTCTTTGTGGGGTGAAGTGTGGATTTATGAGCTGGGTTATTTTTATAAATCAGAGATTTATTCCTGTTCATTTCCCCGCTGTTTTTTAAATAAATCACTCACATAAACCTCTCTTTCTCTTGGGTGAAGGCTGCAAGGTGGAGACAATTACCCTGGATGTGGAAGCAGTGAACACCCACCGGGACAAACCCTCCCTCATCTCAGTAAGTTTTGCTGCACCCCAGGTTTTCTTTATTTTACACCAAATTTTAGGCCCACAACAAGCCTTTAACTTGCCTGTGAATAAGTTTTCTGGCTCCACCTTTAACAGAATAAGTCACAAACCCTCATTTAAACACTTGCTGGAACTGCCTGGTGCCTTTCAGTGAACAGAAGGATTCTCTTCAGAAACAACATCAAAAAGCAGAATTAATTTTAAGGTGCATTAGTGCTTCCCAAGCCAAGGAAGATGTTTTTCAGAGCTGTTGTAGGGACCAGAATGAGGAAATTTTGGGCATAAGATTTGAACTCCAGGTCTTGTTCTCAGTTTTCAGTTCAGTGTTTGTTGCTGATGCTTATTGGTGATTTCCAAAAGACTTGGCAAAAGGGTTAAAGTGGATTTTTCTCCTTGTCTTGATGAGTTTTCTCTTTCTGAAATCCTCTCTCTGCCATTATTTAAATTACTGTTGACCATCCACCTTGTAACCACCCCCTAAATCTGGGGGAGCTGCTGACCTCTGAGGGCTTTGATTTTGCAAACCCTGTTTTCCAAAGGGACTGCCAGGGAAAGCCTCAGTGATTGCCTCTAATTAATCCCCCCAATTAGAGAGCACAGACCAGCTCTGCTGCCTCACAGGAACTCTGAGTGCATCTGATTTTAGGTTTTGTCCATTTAGGCTTTTTGCTGTAATTTATGAAGATCCCTTGGGCTGGGATCTGGTTATTCTTGTGTGCTGAGGGACTGGGGAAACTGGGAACCTGCAGCTGGAGGATTTGTGGAGCTGCCAGATGCCAAACTGAGGATATTGGACATGATTTGTGTGGATCCTCCTGGTTCCCAGCATGTCCCTGCTCGCCAGGGGTTGTTTTAGGTGATGTTCAAAGGTTCTTCCAACCCAAACCACTCTGGGATTTATCACTTTTCCAACTTCTCTGTGACCCCTGCATGGAAATCACTGCTGCCCACTTGGAGGCTGCTTCTGTTCTTTGCTTTGCTTGGGTAACACAGCTGCTTTGGGGCAGAAGGAACAGCAAGAAGGGAGAGTTTTCTTTTGCTTATTTCTTTTTCACCCTAAATTGATCATGCAGAGAGAAAAAAAAAAGGCAAAAAGAAAAAACCCCTTAAAAAAAACCCAAACAGAGCCACCTAAGCAAAACAAAAGTCCCAAAGGGAAGTAAAACTGCTGAAAAATCACTTTCCAGTTGTCTCCAAGGTGGATGAAGTTGTTTCCCAAGCTGGTGCAGGGCTGGGGAAGGCACAGCCCCATGCGGGGTCGCTCAGGGTGGGGTGCTGGAGGTGTGTGACGTGGCTTTAAACTGTGGTTCCCCCTTTTCGTTCCTGGTGATTCCCTCTGTGTGGGATCAGCACGACCTCCCCAGCAGGCAGAGCCCTGTGAGGATGAGGAGGAACAGCTTTACCCCGCGGGCCAGCGCCGACACCGTAAAGCGCCCGCGGCACCACAGCCTGGGCAGCAAACCCCTCCATCTGCTGGGGCCTCTCCCATCCCTGGAAGCTCGAGGGCCTTTCCCACCCCTGGAAGCTCGAGAAGGGGCTGAGCAGCCACAGCTGGAAGTCACTGTCCAGGTGGTACCTTCCCTCTGCTCCCCTCCCCACCATCACCGGGGTCCTTCCGAAATCCACACCCTGCCCAGGATCCTGAGCAGGGGCTGTTTCTGCATGGAGATTAGCCAGCCTGGATTGGATTAAGGACAAAAAAAACCACTTCAAAACCAGCCCCAACACATCAAAATCCCCCCCATCCAACTGGAGTTGTGGTGCCAGTCTGTCAGAGTCGGGCTCCACGCAGGTTTCCATCAGTGCCACAGGGATTTGGCAGGGGGTTTAATTCTGGGTAGGATTTTGCTTCTGGGCTAAAACCTGATTGGAAAAGTTACAAATGCCCTCTTTGTCCCAGTTTTTTACTGCAGCCAAGCGCTGTCCCTGCCTTCTATCACCTCCTGCTGCCACACAGACCTGCCCTGGGCTAACAGGGAATTTCGGGGCTGCTTCACTCCTCCCTCATTGGCTTTGCTGCTTTCCCTATTTCAGTCTCCTTTAAGATGCACTACGAGCCCTGCTGTGCTTCTCTGTTTCCTTTGCAGCCTCCAGAGGGAAATGCTTGCCTCTGAGTACCACTGCAAGCAGCTTGGGTGTGCTCTCTTTGGGGTTAGTAAGTCGGATTTCTCTTGATTTGTGTTGCATGGAAACCACTCTGGGCAAAGACAAAGCCATGGAGCAGAAGGAATCTTGTGCTGAGATTCTGGGGGGCCTCAGTGGGGGCTGAGCCTGCTGATCCAGGGGCTCCAGCTGGGCTTGTGCTTGTGCTGGCTGCTCCAGATTGTGGTTTTAGCCCAGCTTGTTCCATCCCTGGACTGGGACATGGGATGGCTCTGAGCAGGGCAGGGTCCCAGCTGTGTCCCAGGACAAGGTGTGGTGACATTGAAGCTCTCAGGGATTTTGCAGGAGTCACTGGATTGTGGATTTATCTTTGTTTTTCACTGTCTTGAGTGTGTTCCTGGTGTCTGTTGGGCCCTGAGTGAGGCAGAGGAAGGAGTTTTGTCAAAGCTCTGAGTATTTATTGTGGTTAATTTGCAAGGTGGTCACTGTGGTGGTTCTTGGGTGGTTCTGGCAGTGTGATTCCCCATGGAGAAGGTAAATAAAAATAAAGGTAAATAAAATAAAAATGAGCAACCCTGAGTAACCAACCTGCCTCCTTACTCCTGAGCTTCTCCACCTCTCTGAGCTTGTGTGGGCTCAGGCTGAGATGGGAAAATCCTTCAGGGGGGCTTGGCAGGAGGCTGAAGGGTGATGTAAAGAGTGAGACAGGTCTTTGTGTGTCAGACAATGCCCTGACATAGAGATGGGGCAACTGAGAGGTGTTTTAAAAACTTTATTCCATTTTCAGTCTCCTGAGAAGGGTGAGACAATGCAGGTGTAATTCACACCGTCACAATCAGAAGTTAATTATTTCCTGATTACAATAGATCATAAGCATTTCTTGGCCTATCAGCTTTTTGCCACACCATGCTGTAAATGCCTTAAAGCCAATCATCCAAAACTCCCCCTCGTGGGTCCCACTACACCCAATTCCCACATTTCTGTGCTGGGATGGAAGGGATGGAGCAAATCCTCAGGTGGTTCCTGTTGTGGGCAGCACTTCCATGGGGCTGGACTCACCTCTCCACGAGCTGAGCTGCCTCCAGCTTTACCCTCTCCTGCCTTCCTTGCTGTGACCTGTCCTGTTTCTCTTTTCCCTGCAGAGAATGGCTGCTTGAGCAGTGTAGGGGTTCCTGCTTTCCCCTTGGATCCATCCAGCTGGGAATTCCAGGACTGGAGCACCCCTGGGCACCGTGAGCCACCCTGGCCAGTACTTGCCTTGAACTGTGATTTTAGAGCCTGTCTGTGTCTTTTCTTTCCAAATGCTGCAATGTCTGTCCACGGGGCTGGAGAAGATTTCCTGTGGAGATTTTTCCAAGCTGCTTTGAACGCTCGTAAGCCAACGCGTCGCCGGCTGTTGAAATAGTGTCCCACGTCTTTCCTCCTGGCCAGGAGCCAAAATTAACCACAGTGGGAGGACAAAATAGTCATGGTTTTACTCACTGAGGCAGCTTTTCTTCGGAAAAGGCATTTCCAGGCCAAATCCCCGAGGTTTTATTTCTCCATTTCCAAGTTATGTCCAAGTTATTTCCAAGTTCAGACTCAATTTTTTTCTGGTTTTCAGCCACCCAGGGAGCTCCAGGTAGGGTTTGACTTCCCCTCCTTGAGTGCTGGTGTGAATCCCCCAATCTGAGCCAGTTCCTTTTTGCCTGGGTGCTTGTTCCAGGCTTCTGCTTGGATGTGACACCCAGATCAGCACATCCATCCCACGGGCTGCCTCCTGTGAGGGGCAGATGGGAATGAACCCTCCTGCCCCTCTCTGGAAGCAGCACAGCTCCCAGTGCTTTAAATCCCACCTCAAGCCCTATTTTAGCTTCTCCTCCCTACCTAAATTCCATCCTCTCACTCATTTTTCCTGCATTTTGGGGGTGTTTTATCCATTTACCCCAGAAAATGGGAGCGTGGCTGGGACCAGCAGGGCTCCTGGGCATGGTTTGCAGGAAGCACAAGGTTTTTAAAAGGTTTCTTTATTTTACACCAAATTTTAGGCCCACAACGAGCTTTTAACTTGCCTATGAATAAGCTGTGAATGTTCCCAATGCTGCCTTTCATAGTTTTAAGCTGTTGTAGAGTTTGGAGCACAGGTTGGTGCAGCTCTGTGTCTTAACTGAAATCCTTCCCTTAAATCCCCACCAAACCCCAAATTTTCAGTTCTCTCCCACAATTCTTGACTTGCATTTTGCCAAACTCCATTTTACCCCACTCCAGCTGTTCTTGCAATAAGGGCAGCACCCTCAGGTTGGGTGAAGAAAGGAACATTTGGGTACAGAGCAGGAGGCTGCTCTGGACCTGCTGTTCCAGGTGACTCCAGGATTTCTCTGAGCAGTTCTGGGCCCCAGAAGTTGCTTATTTTAAATGTGTAAATAAATGTTGGATATACCCACAGCAGGGAAACTGTGCCCTGGCTGTGGAGGAGCTCAGCAACTCCAGAGTTTGAGGCTTAACCTGGCCATTTTGAGCTCTAACTTGGTTGTTTTAAACACTCCCAGAGCTGTAATTTGATGAAACTGAGATAGAGAGGACCAAGGCACAAATCTGGACCCCTCAGGATTTCTGAGGAGCAGAAAAATGTGTTGATCTAAAGCGATTGTGCCACAGAGGGGTGAAATTTGGTGGTGAGAAATTGAGTTTTTATTAGTTTTTCTCCTCAGGGTTTTCCTCCCCAGGTCTGGTTTTGGGTTTTAAATGTTTTTGTGCTTAAAAATAAACCAGAAAAAAAGAAATGTTGAAGGAAGAGATTCAGAGGCTGTCCATGGCAGTCCTCAGTGCCACACTCCAAAGTGCTCTGAACGCACAAACCCGTCCTTGTCAGGCTGGCTGCCCTGACCAAACCCCTCCTGCTCTGTGGAAAAAGGAGTGGAAGATGCACTGTAGGATGTTTACGCACAAAAATGCTGGGATAACTTGCTGAAGAGTTCATGAAGTTCATGTCACTGAGCAGTAAATGATTGTAAGGAGACAAAAATCTATATTTTTACCTGCTGGGATTTGTGAATGTTGCTGTTGATGTGTTGTTGGGGGTTGTGAGGGTTTTTTTTTTTTAATCACTGCTGAAAATCAGGTGTTCTGCAGTTTGGGTCAGTGGCTGGGGGTCCCTTTTGGGGCTGTGGGATGGAATTTCATCCTTCTCTGCAGCGTTTGTGCCTCAGTGCTTTAATTAAAGCTTTTTCCTCCTGCATTTTAGCCTCGAGAAGGTTTAAAGCAAACACGCCTGGGGCAGAGCAGCAGCAGATTTGGGAGCTGATCATTGCCCCGAGGGTCCTGCTGAGCCCTCGGGGCTGCAGGGCTGGGGTGCTGCCAGTGGGCATCTCCTGGCAGCTCCCTGTGCCAGGGATTTCCTTGAAACCACCTGATTTCCTTGGCACTGGGCGTGCAAACACCCCAGAACAAACAGACCTTGCACAACAGGGTTTTTGAGATGGCTTTGGTGGAACAGCTCAGCAGCTGACACACAGGGGCAGGCAGGTCCCACTGAAGGGGACAGCAGCCAGCTCCACCTCTGCTGCTTGAAACACAGGCACGGAAAGTCAGGGGGTCACAAAACCCCCCCAGACCTGGGGAAATGCTCAGGAAGGTGCCAGGCTCACCTCCACACCTCCAAATCCACCTCCACACCTCCAAATCTACCTCCACACCTCTAAATCCACCTCCAAATCCACCACCACAGCTCCAAATCCACATCCCCACCTCCAAATCCACACCTCCAAACCCACCTGCACCTGCCCAGCTCATGCTGTGAGTGGAATCAGAGGTGGGTTTGGAGGTTTGAAGGTAGATTTGGAGGTGTGGATGTGGGTTTGGAAGTGTGGAGGTGAGCCTGGCACCTTCCTGAGCATTTCCCCAGGTCTGGGGGGGTTTTGTGACCCCCTGGCTTTCTGTGCCCCTGTTTCAAGCAGCACAGGTGGAGCTGGCTGCTGTCCCCTGTGTGTCACCGCCTGCCTGCCTCTGTGTGTCACTGCAGAGAAAAAGGAGCACTTGGGCTAAAAACTGCTCCATCTCTGGGAAAAACTGCAAAATGGGGGAAAGAGTTCAACCCTGCCTGGCTGGCTGGTCTGTGTACACTGGCTCTGACCTCAGAGCTGTCACCTCTGCCTGGTGTCCCCTTCCTGGCAGCTGGGGTGGGTGACACTCAAGCCCAGCCTGGCCTGGCTGCCAAGGGGGAACTGAGGGAGGAGAGGCACCAGCCTGGCCAGAGCCACCCTGGGGTGTCCCCAAGCCTCTCCCCGTGCCCCTCTGAGGGCTCTGGGGAGCAGTGCCAGTGCCACCCCTGCTGTCCCCTGCTCTGCTTGCACTGCAGCTCTGCCTGGAGTGTTTGGCGAGAGGGATCTTACCCAGCTGCTTGTGAACTTTCCTGCTCTGCTGCCTTCTAAGTGGTTTTTTTTTGTTAGGTTTAAAAGCTGCAGTGTCTGTCAGCTCGTGCTGTGTGTTGTGTGCTCTGTGCACTTGAGCATAAATCTCTGTCAGTGTTTATTTACAATAAAGAGACTAAAAAAACCCCACAGATAATGTCCTGTGTTCTTTTCCATTGTTTGCTCTAACTCTGCACTGTGTGCTGGTTTTCTGAGGAGCTCAGGGAGTCTCTGGGATGAGTTTGGAGGAAGAGGGGCTGCAGGGGTGGGCAGGTGTCCTCTGGTTTGGGAATCTGAGTTGGAAATGGGGGCTCTTAAGCCCTACTGCTGTTCCCCTTCTCTCCTCAGTTTTAAGGCTGTTTTTCCTGCAGATCAGCATCTCGGGGTTTCCGTGGAACTGAGCTTTAAGGTCCTTTCCAAGCAAATTCTGGAATTCTGTGTGTGTTCAGCTCCGAGCGATGCTCCCGGGCCCTCCTGAGCTCCAGCTGGAGCTGCTCCCGTGGGCTTGGGTGGGGCTGGCTGGAAAAACCCTTTTGGCATGCTGGCCATGGCTTCCTGAGGCCACGGGATGAACTCAGGGTGGCCTTGCCCTGGGGCGAGGCAGCTCCTCTGAGTTGTATTTGCAGGGTCCCCAAATGCAAGAGGAAGGAATGATGAATCTGACTCCGTGTTCTCAGAAGGCTCATTTATTATTTTATGATCTATATTATAGTACAGAATACTAAACTAAACAATACAGAAAGGATACAGACAGAAGGCTAAAAGATAATAATGAAAACTCGTGACTCTCTCCAGAGTCTGACACACAGCCTGGCCCCAACTGGCCAAGGAGTCAAAACAATTCACATGAAACCAATGAAACAATCATTGAACATTGTTGGATAAACAATCTCCAAACACATTCCAAAGCAGCAAAACACAGGAGAAGCAAATGAATTAATATTATTTTCCTTTTTCTCTGGGGTTTCTCAGCTTCCCAGGAGAAGAATTCTGGGCAAAGGGATTTTTCCAGAAAATATGACTGCCACACCTGAGGACACCCCTCAGTGTGCCTGAGGTCCCAGTGGAGCAGCTCAGCAAGGATTATTTCAAAAACTTTGCACCTCCACGCATAAAAACCAAACAATTTCAACATCTGCTTGGGTTGCATTCAGTTTTGTAGTATTTTGCTCTGGGGGTGGAATAAACTCCTTGCTCAGTTAATGATTTATGGGTCAACGGGTCAGCTCTGGTTTCTGCAGAATTGAAGTTTCTCTCTGTGGGGCCAGATCTGGGCATGTGGGCTCTATAAAACTCCTGCTTTGCCTGGGGGGCTGGAGGAGAGCAGTCCCTGCTCCACCCTGCGAGTGCTGAACACGCCGGGGCTCTCCATCTCCTGCCTCCACAGCTCCAGGTAAGACAAATCCCAGCCTGGCAGCTCCAAGGGCTGCTCCTGGCAGCTGGGCTGGAGCTCCTGTGCAGCTCCAGCAGGAGCCCGGGCCAGGAAATTCAACCAGATTAAAGCAGGAGGAGGGAGAAGGGCTGAAGAAAGGCAGAGGAGTGAAGCAGGCATGGGAGGTGTTTGGTCCAGGGCAGGGAGCACCCAGGTCAGGAAATTCAACCAGATTAAAGCAGGAGGAGGGAGAAGGGCTGAAGAAAGGCAGAGGAGTGAAGCAGGCATGGGAGGTGTTGGGTTCAGGGCAGGGAGCAGTGAGTGGAACCCTCATTCTCAGGAGGGAAGGAGGCACTGGGAGATTCTGGAGCTTTGGGAGGGCTCAGGCTCATGAATGACCCTGGATAACGCAGAGAGGGCTCTTCCAGCTCCCTAAGGGTGCCAAGGTGAGTGCAAATTGCACTTAAATTCCATTTTGTAAAGCAGTTTGGTTTGATTGACCTGTGAGCCTTACAGCTTGAAATATTCCCTTTACTCAGGGAATTTTTGCACAGACTGATGGAACTTTTTGCTTGGATACTTCTCTCTCTCCCTGAGGGTGATTCATTGTTAGGGAACTCTTCTGGTGACCCCAGCAGGATTTCTCCTGACTAGGAATTTCATTCCAAGAGATTTATTACTGCAAATAAAGTGTTTCACTCCTAAGTTTCCAGAAAAGAAATTCAGCTCTTGCTCCTTCTGCTCCTCTCCTGTGACTGCAGGAACTGCTCAGGGGTGCAGAAATCAGACCTGTGCATAGAGCTGAGGATAAATACCCCCAAATACCCTTCTGCTGTCTTCACAGATTCTGGCCCAGGAAGGGAACGTGGTGACATCTGTGGGACCTCCAGGCAGGAATAAACATGTCAGCTTTGGAGCTGGGGAGGCAGAGGAGCTGTGCAGCTGTCCTTGGGTCACTCCTCACTGCTGCTCTCATTGTCACTGTCCACAGTAAGTGACCCCCTGGAGGAAAACCTTCTCTGGGTTTTACCAGGCTTGGATCCTTCTGTTTTCCTCATTGCCTGTGCATTTCAAGGGCTCTGTAAATCTTTGTGATCAGATCTTCCTTTGCCTTTTTTTCCCCCCCCTTTCCGTGGGAAGCAGGTACAAAACTGTTTTAGCTGGAAAAGTGCAATAATTTATACTAAGTGGGGAGAAGAAATGCTTCATCTGGACTTTGTGTCCAGCCTTTGAATCTGTGAGGAGCAGGACTGGAGGGGCAGATCCCTGCCAGCCACAGGCTGCACTTCTCTTTGCTTTGAGGAGTCTTTGGGGCACTGGGGGTCCTCCCCTGGAGCTCTGGGGTGAATCAGGCCTGAACCCCCCCTGGCTTTGCTGGCAGCATGTTTCTGATGGGGGTCAAAACCCATATTTTTATAATAAAGTTACTTTGACATTACACATACAAATCCATTTTCATATCTGTGCCAAGCCAATATTACAGTATCTTAACTTCTTCTTTACTAAATTTAACGTCTTCATTCTGTTCTTTTACATGCTTACATTTTGTTCTTTCTCTCACTCAAGAGAAGATTAAAGTGCTGAAAAAATTAACATCACACTTAGAGTCCACTTAACTCATTAATAACTTGTAACAAAAAACGGTAGTTGTGTTAAGATTAGCTTTATAGTTAGTCTTTGGTTTTTTTATACAAATTGCAAGAGTTTCTAGTCTCAGTAATGCTGAGGAAAAAAGATTTAATGATGAGATCTTCACAGCCACAACTAGTTTTGTTCTAACTAAAACTCAATAGCCTCCCCTTTCTTACTTAACAGCTATTAAAACCCAACCCAACTAAAACTGATTTTTAAAAAGCCAACAAGTAACTTCAAAAAAGAAAAAGAGCCCAGGCCACAACAAGACTACTTAGCCTAACCTAGTGTCACGAGGATTTTCATAAAATATGTCACGGTGGCATTTTTTTTTTTCTCTCTACCATGTGCGCTTCACCAAAGCATGTCTAATTTTTCAGTAGTTCAGGAAACTGTCAGTGGCACAAAGAACTTTCCATCACTGCCCTGAATGCCTGCCCTTCCCAGGCAGAGCAGGGTGTGACAGGGGCTCTGTGTCCCCAGGTCGCTGCGCCGCCCCGCCGCGCTCGCCCTCGGCAGAGCCCAAGAGGAAGCTGGATGGCATCGAGTCCTTCCCCTATGGCTACAGGATGGAGTTTGTCTGCAGGCCAGGCTATACCAGAAATGCTCGCGTTTTAAACTTCCTCGTCTGCGGGGTGAACGGGGTGTGGCGTGGATCGAGTGAAATCTGCATACGTGAGTGTGTCTGGGGGTCCCTGCCCGTGGGCGTGGTGGTTTCGGGGTCCCCGGATGGAGGAGGAGGGAAGAATCTGACTCCATGTTCTCAGAAGGCTGATTTATTATTTTATGATATTATGTGATATTAAAGAATGCTATAGTAGAACTACACTAAAAGAATACTAAAGAATAGAGAAAGGATACAGACAGAAGTCCACGAAGAATGATAATGAAAACCCGTGACTCTCCCGTCAGAGTCCTGACACAGCTGGCTGTAATTGGCCAATAGGCAACAACAATTCACACGCAACCAATGAAACAAGCACCTGTTGGTAAACAATGTCCAAACCACATTCCAAAGCAGCAAAACACAGGAGAAGCAAATCAGATCATTATTGTTTTCATTTTTCTCTGAGGCTTCTCAGCTTCCCAGGAGAAGAATCCTGGGCAAAGAGGTTTTCCAGAAAATATGATAGTGACACTTGGGTTGGTACAAGATCACCTCTAGGGTCCTTCCCAACCCCAACCATTCTGTTATTCTGTCCCTTTTGGTTTTGATTGCTGATGCAGCCAGCTCCTGCTGTTGAGCAGAACCCAAAGTGAGCCCTGGGGATGGTGGCAATGAGTGCCCTGAAGGGAAGCACCAGCTCTGTTCCTCTGGGTGCTGGCAGGAGCTGAAATCACCTCTGGTGCTGGCTGTGCTTCCCTGCTGACTCAGAGGATGTCCTTCTGCTCAGGCATTTTGAGCCCCTGTGTCTAGGAAAGCATTGGAGCTGCCCCAGGTCACTGCAGACCCCGGGGCAGCAGCTCACGAGGCAGGTCCGGCCAGCACCATCAACCACAGAATAACCTCGGGCTGGAGGGGACATCTGGAGGTCTCTGCTCCATCCCCTGGCTCAGAACTGGGCGGCTCTTTGGCTCTCCTGCCAAGAAGCTGAGCTGGGAGCTGACTGGAGCCCTGTTGTCCCCAGCCAAGGCGTGCAGCAACCCCGGGGAGCCGGCCAATGGCAGACTGGTCCTGCCTGGAGCGTTCACTTTTGGTTCCAAAGTGAACTTCACCTGCAACACTGGGTAAGCCAGGAGCACCTGGGCCACAGGGCTTCTTCCTCTCCAGACAGTTTTCCAAAGTTTTTTCCCCCCTTTGCTGTAAGGGCTTCCCCCATGTAGGTAATTGCAGACCCTGACTGAAATACCTTTTAAGCTTTCCTTTGGGAGCTTCAGGACTGACTGTGAGTGTCTTAATCTCCTGCTTTGAGGCAGTTTTGCCCAAACTCAGGTTCAGCCTCCTGGCTCTTTTCAAACCATTCCCAATGTTTCAGTGTCCTTTTGAAGGAAAGATATGACTACTGAGCTCAGAGCTGTAAGTAGTTGATGAAGTTTATTCATTTCCTTAGAAACGTGTCATTTTTTAAATTTAAAAAAAAAATGTTTTTGTCAAAAGCCAGTGTGTCCTTGAGAAAGTGACACTTTCTGACCAATTTCTGGTCTGCTGGAATTCTGACAAAGTAGCCCAAACCTTGCTGGTGGTGACATGGATAACACATCAGGACTGAGTCTGTGGAGTAATTCCCTCTCCTCTGTCTCACACAGGTACAGACTGATTGGACACTCTGAGATTGAATGTGTGCTCAGAAATGAAGTTCTTACATGGAACAGAGATATTCCCACCTGTCAGGGTAAGCAGAGTTCCTCAATTATCTATTCTGTAATTATCTGGGATGTGGCTGGGGCTGGATAAAGAGGCTGTTGTGTTGCTGTGCTGAAGATTTGACATCTCAGTGGCATCTGCAGTTTGGCATCTGCTCAGGATTTTGGCATGGTGGAGCCTAGAACAACATTTTTAATCTGTTTTTCCCTTCCTGCAGAAATGTTCATTCACTCTCTGGGAGTGAAGCAACTGCATTTGAGCTTGGGATATCCCAAACCCTCTCAGTGCAAGCCAGAGCTCGGGGCTGGTGCAGCTCCTCAAGATCTGCCTTTGATTCCTGACCCTTCTGCTACCTCCTGTTTCCACCTTTTCCTGGCCAGATCTTTGGTTTAAAATTAATTAATTTTTTTCTCTTCTTCTCATTCCCATGATGATCTTCCCCTCCTTCCACAGTGATTCCCTGTGCACCCCCTCCAGAAATAGCGAATGGGCAGCACAGCGGGATGAACAAGGAACATTTTGAGTATGGGGACTCTGTCACCTACCAGTGCCACAGCACCAGGAAGGGACAGAAATCTTTCTCCCTGGTGGGAGAGGCCTCAATTTTCTGCACCAGCAGGGACAACCTGAACGGTGTGTGGAGCAGCCCAGCTCCAGAATGCAAAGGTGAGCTGCTCCCACACCCCAGCACCAGCCCCTGCACTGCTGCCTGCTCCTGCTCTGCTGTTTCCTGCCTTGGAACCTCCTCTCCTCTTCATCCTGCTGGAGTGGAATCACCTCTTGCAGAGGGGACACTCTGAGTGTGACAGGAATTGGGGTCTCCCCTCAAGGTCACCGTGTCAGCAGGGAGGTGGGAGTGGGATTTACTGTGCTCACAGGGCAGGGGATCCCTCTCCCTGCTGTGAAGCAGAACAGCTGCAAAGAATTCCCAAACCTGCTCCCCTGGGCTCTCTTCATGCTTTACCTTAAAAAACCCCTGCTGTAACATGGGGCAAGATGTACAAAAGCACCACGTCACCCTGCTGCTGTCCTGGCCCTTTTCAGCCCTTCTGAAAAAGGTGATGGGGGCTTTTTCAAAACCCTCATATCCCATATATCTGTCTCGGCTTGGAAAGCCAGGTGTGTGCTAAGGAAGACAGGAGCCTCCCTTGAAATGGGAAATGTAAACCCCCTCCCTCCAAAAAACGAAAAACTAACTGACAGAAGATAACTGCCCCACCTCTAACAGATGGCAAATAGAATACATCCTGCCTTGCAATCTTGGACAATATCATAACCCTCATACCTCCTAGCTGGAGCCTAACTGCTGCTTCCCTGTGTGCTTCCCCCGGCACAGTGGTGACCTGCGAGCAGCCAACAGTGGAGAATGGGAAGCTGCTGAGCAGGTACCAGGCTGATTACAGCTTTGGGGACACGGTGGTGTTCGACTGCAACCTCCGCTACAGCCTCAGCGGCAGCCCAGCCTCCACCTGCAGGGACAGCGGCCTCTGGGAGCCCCCCCTGCCCCTCTGCCAGCGCAGTGAGTGTCAGGACAGCACCCCTGGGACCCCCCATGCTCAGGGAGTAGCGGCTTGATTGGAAATGACAGATTGTTATAAGAGTGAAAACCGCCGTGCGGTACAAAATTGCAGTCCTGGGATGGTTTGTGTTGGGAGAGACCTAAAGCCCAGCCCACCCACCTCCCGCCATGGGCAGGGACACCTCTCACTAGCCCACGTTGCTCCATGCCCTGTCCAACCTCTCCTTGGACATTTCCAGGGTTGGGGCAGCCACAGCTGCTCGGGGCATCACCCTCAAAGGGAAGAATTTCTTCCCAATTTCTGATCTAAACCCAACCTCCTTCATCTTAAAGCCCTTCCCCCTTGTCCTGTCATCCCGTGCCCTCGTGAAAAGTCTCTCTCCAGGGGAAAAAAAAAATCTGTATATCTTAATTTATCTCCTTTGCATTCCCTCTTTCCCCTTCTTGAACCTGGATGATTCAATGCATCTCAGAATGAGCAATGTGAGCCCGTGGTTTTCACACAAATTCCCTCCATGCCAGGCCCTGTGATGCAGCACTGTCCCTAAACTGCTGTCTCACCCCCAGGCAGCTGTGACGACCCCCCAGATGTGAGGAATGCCATGAAAACCAGGCTGGCTGGCAATCTGTTCCCTGTGGGCACCGTGGTCACCTACGAGTGCCAGGAGGGCCACCAGTTCAGAGCAGGGAAAACCGCCTGGAACATCAGCTGCCTGCAGGACTTTGTGTGGAGCGAAGCCCCAGCTCCGTGTGAAAGTGAGTGCCTGGGGCTTACTTTGTGACTGCCAAAATGTGTGAAGGAGCCGCACGTAGTGTGGGGACAGCCTGGGGGACAGGGGGATGCTCCAGGGCCCTGCTTGGTCTTTGCTGACCCTGGAATTCCTTTGATTTATTCCCCAGCTGCAGAGTTGGCTTTGCTTTATTTGCCAGCTCCTTGAACCTCTGGAAAACATCCACTATGGTCTTGAGGGTGCACCACCAACATTCCACCCGCAGAAAAACCCAGGAACGCTTTTGGAGCAGATTTAATGCCATTATGTGTCTATCCACCCATCCTTGTCTTCACAACAACTTTCCTGTCACCCACTTGGCTTTGCTGTGGTTTCACCCTTGCTGATGTTTGGTATTTCCCAGGAATTCCTTGCCCAGATCCACACATCCTAAATGGCAGGCCCTTGCACCCGTGGGAAGTGAAAGAGGTTTATGAGAGCGGGGACACGCTGGAGGTGACGTGCAGTGAAGGATTTGCTTTCAAAGGCCGTGGCAGCAACGTCATCCTCCACTGTGGCAGCGATGGTGGATGGCATCCAGCAGTGCCAGAGTGCATTCCAGGTGGGACAGAGTGGAGGGGTGAGCATGACAGAAGCCATGGGGAATTTTCCCCCACTCCAGGTGGCCCCAGGTCTACTTCTCCTGGGTTAATGTGGAATGTACAGGCAGCAAAAGGTCCAGAGGGACCCCGTGGAAAAAGGGCAGGGTTTTGGCAGGGCTGAGCTGGTGTCTGGGGGGTGCGAGGGTGGTGTGTTGGAAACTTCTAGAGGCTTGGGAGGTTCCTGAGGAACCTGGGGAGACATTTACCCAGCTGGAAGGGGATGTGGTTTTTGTGTTTGGGGCTGCTTTGCTGACATGAGGCTGGGGAGCAAAGGATGTTCCCACGGCATTTCCCCTGTCAGGAGAAAATGAGTAAATAACTGACACTGCTCATCTCCTACCACAGCAATATCCCCAAAAACTCGGGAAAACCTTGGCAGGAGGGGAAAACCTGCTCCACCTCCCAGGGCAGGCAGCATTAGAGCGTGGAGAATTCCCTGTACTGACCCTTCAGGGTTACAGAGGCAGCCTGAGACCTGCACCTGGGGGATGGTCACTTTCTGCCACGGTTCAGATTTGTTGGTAGCTGTTCTCCATAGAAAGCATGACTGGAGTTCTTTTTGGAATCACACAACATCCTTTCTTTCCCATTATTTCTAGAACAACGTTGCCCAAAGCCAGACATCCCTCATGGAAAGGAGGTTTATAAAAGCAGCAGTGACTACACGGTGGGGGCCCAGGTGAGGCTGGCCTGTGAGGAGGGCTTTGCCCTCAGGGGCTCCGAGACCATCACCTGTGGGGCTGATCTGAGCTGGGAGCCCGAGGTGCCCTTCTGTGACAAAGGTACGTGTGACACACGGGGGACAAGAGATCTCCTGCCACCAGTGGGTGAGCTGCCTGCAGCACCTGCTCCTGGGGACACAGCCTCAGCCAGGTGTCCCCTCCCAGAGCTGGAATTAGAATCACTAAGCTTGGAAAATACCTCCAGCATCATCAGGTGCAGGCTTTGAGTGAATCCCACCAGTGCCACATCCACGTGTCTCTTGAACACTTCAGGAGTGGGAGGGCCACCACTGGAAATATTCTGGTATTTCTGGGGCCCTGAGCTGCTGTAAGAGGCCAGAATCCAGGCAGCAGCTCCTTGTGAATTTGCCTCACACCAGCCATGAAATGAACTTTGTGCTGATTTCACAGAAACGCTGCTGGCTCTCACCTGAAGGTGCTAACTGCACTGCACGTGTCTTTCTTTCTCAATTCCCTTTTTTCCACAGTCTGTGGGGCCCCCCCACAAATCTCCTTTGGGCAGCACTCTGGCAGAGATGGCAAGGACTTCTACTATGGCACCAATGTGACCTACAGCTGTGCAGAGGGGCTGTCCCTGGTGGGGGACAAGGCCCTCTACTGCACCTCGGAGGATGGGGAGAGCCTGAGCTGGAGCGGGCCTGCCCCGCAGTGCAAGGGTGAGTGCTTTGGGGTCACCATGGCCTCAGGGCATGGCCTCAGCCCCTGGGGCACTGCCAGCACTCAGGACAACGGGGTTCAAGCCAGCAGGGCTGCCTGCACATGCTGCTTCCTCCACAGGAAGGGGGATTATGGCTGTGCTGGGAACCCCCGGTGAGGGGGAGGGACGATGATGAGGAGGACTCCATCTTATCAAAAGGCTAATTAATTACTTCATTATATTATTTCTATACATCTAAAACTGAAGCTGCCAAGCACTCAGCCCTGCACACGACTGCTCACACTGCACAGAATCTCGTGGCTGTCACCCAACAGTCCCCACACACACACTCTTGGCCCTGCTAGGCCAAGGAAACAGAACACCATGACTTTGGGTAACCAATCTCCATATTGCATTCTACTTTTGCACAAACGCAGGCACAGCAAATGATAAGAATTTTGTTTTCTTATGGTTGAACCAACAGGGGCTCCTGGGACGAGGGAAGAAACGAGAATCTTGACTCCACGTTTCAGAAGGCTGATTTATTATATTATGATATATATTATACTAAAATTATATATTAAAAACTATACTAAAAAATAGAAAAGAATCTATCAGAAGGCTAGAAAGAACAGGAGAGGAATGGATAACAAAAGTTTGTGACTCTCAGAGTCTGAGCCAGCTGCATCCTTGATTGGTTATTAAGTAGAAACCACCAACATGCACCAATCACAGATGCACCTGTTGCATTCCACAGCAGCAGAGATTTAATTGTTTACATTTCTTTCCTGAGGCTTCTCCGCTAGAATAAGAGAAAAATGCTAGCAAAGAATTTTTCATAAAATATCATAACTACATTTTCTTTCTCTGATGTTCAGAGAATGTGAAATCTGGAAATATTCTTGGGAAGAATTGGGCCTTGCTTTTCTCTGTGTGGGGCTATAGGGGATGATCCCTCTGGAAGTGGCAGACCCTGGTTCTCCTCATCGGGGGCCATCAGGGGGTCGGGAGGATCAGCCCTGCCCGGGCTCTGCTGTCCCCAGCCCCCAGAGCCAGCTCTGCTCTGTCCCGCAGTGGTTCGGTGCCCCAAGCCCGTGGTGGAGAGGGGCAGGATGACCCCACAGACGTTCACCTTTCCCTACGGGCTGCTGCTGCACTTCTCCTGTGAGCAAGGCTTCGGGCTGCGTGGTGCTGCCCAGAGCCAGTGCCAGGCTGATGGCACCTGGCACCCGCCCCTGCCCACCTGCCAGCCAGGTGAGTGCCAGCCCTGCCCTGCACAGCCCTGCCCTGCTCTGCTGGGTCACAGCAGGGTGTTTTCTCCTCCATGTCCTCCCATTATTGGGGTTTTTTTGTGTGTGTTTCCCCCTCAGTTCGGTGCCCCAGCCTCCCGAGGCGGGAGGACGTGATTGTTCAGTTCAACAAGCTGTGGTATGAGGTGAATGAAACTGTGCCCTTCTACTGCAAACATGGTGGGCACGCAGGGGCACCTTCCAGAACCACCTGCTCAGCTGATGGCACCTGGACACCACCACCCACATGTGTAAGTACCACCAGCTGCCCCGTTTTTCCTGTTTCTTGCCCTGTTTTTCCTGTTTCATGCCCTGTTTTTCCTGTTTCTTGCCCCGTTTTTCCTGTTTCTTGCCCTGTTTTTCCTGTTTCTTGCCCCACTTTTCCTGTTTCTTGCCCCATTTTTCCTGTTCATGCCCCATTTTTCCTGTTTCTTGCCCTGTTTTTCCTGTTTCATGCCCCATTTTTCCTGTTTCATGCCACATTTTTCCTGTTTCATGCCCCATTTTTCCTGTTTCTTGCTCCGTTTTTCCTGTTTCTTGTCCCACTTTTCCTGTTTTTTGCCCCATTTGTAGCCTGGAATAGCTTTGGTCCAGCTTCACAAAGATGGTTGCTTTGTCACCCCGCACTTGAGTCTCACTCTGCCTTTGTTTTGGTTCTTTTTAAGAGGAAAAATGAGGTGTGTGAGAGGGTTCTTCGAAACAAAGCAGCTTTCCAGTGTGGAATTCCTCTGTCGGACCTGAAAACCCAGCTGGAAATCCAGAAGCTCCTCCTGGAGATCCAGAAACTTGAAAAGGAGCTAAAAATCACCACCTACAGCTGACTGGTGGCACTGGGATTGTAAGAACCATCCTCTGAGTGTTGGATCATGATGCTGACTGAGGATTTTTATCACTTTGTAATTTGTGCTAATGCTGAAGTAGCCAGGACAAAATTTAACAATTGGCCATGGGTTTGGTCACATGAGGACTCAAAGACTTGTGAGTCAGTTTTTAGAGCTCACCAGGTTCAGTTTGTAGATCACTTTACCTCTCAAAGCTTCACATTCAGATCTGTTTGCTACACTGGCAGTGCACAGATAGGAAGGAACTGAGTGGGAAGTGAATTTTGGTGGTAGAAGCAGCCATGAAGGTGGTGAGAGCCACTCACTGCAGCTGCTGCACCTCTCCAGTCCATCCCAGTGCTGCCCAGTTCAGGCTGCACTCACTAATGGGAACAACCCCTTCACTGCCTAATTACTTTCCTCATCACCAAGAAAACTTCAAAGCCTCTGTCCTAGCAAAGCAAAAATGCCAGGTATTCCTCCCAAGCAGGATGGAAGTGCCACATCTCTGTGTGTGCCCCAAGGACAAACAACAGTGTACAGGAAGAAATGAATGGTTTTGAATTTTTTTCCCTTCACTATCCAATGAAGGGGAAGCACTGTGCGGGCCACGTGTCTTGTGATGGGACCAGAGATTAAAATAAACCTGAAATTGTAAAGGCAGCTCTGTCTGGGTTTTAATAATCTGTAGTAAAGGGAAGTATTTCTGTAATAGGTATGCAGTGCAGATAATATATAAAGTGTATATAACAAATAGGTTTATTTACAGTGTATGTAAATCAACAGCTCAGTGAGGTGCTGTTCCATGAGTGCAGGGGTTTGGGGGCTGTTTCCACAGCAGCTCTGGCTGCAAACCTGCTTCAGACACGAGGCCAGGCTGCTGCAGAGCAGTTTGAGCTGAAAACCACCTTCACCCCCTCTGTGCCCAGAGCACATCCCCTGCATGCACACCCGGGCTGGGGGTGGTGTCAGCGGCGTGTCCCTGTCCCCAACTTCCCACTGCTGCTTCCCCTTCCCTGGCAGGCTCTCGGGGGTGAGGATCTCTCCTTCCCAGGGCAGCTCTGACCCCACGCCATGCCCGGGCTCCTGGGGCCAGGGCAGCTCCTGGCAGTGCTGCTTCTGGGGCTGCAGCCCACGGGGACTCAGGGTGAGTGTCCTCCCCTCCCTCCTTGGCTTCTGGGGCTCTGCTTTCCTTCCACGGGGGCTTTGGGAAGAGCTGATAGAGCCTTCAGTGCCTGAAGGGGCTCCAGGAAGCTGCAGAGGGGCTTTGCACCCAGGGATGGCCTGGCAGGGAAAGGGGGATGGGTTTAGGGTGAATTAGGGCAGGGTTAGGGTGGGTATTAGGAAGGAATTGTTCCCTGGGAGGGTGGGCAGGCCCTGGCTTGGGGTGCCCAGAGCAGCTGTGGCTGCCCCTGGATCCCTGGCAGTGCCCAAGGCCAGGCTGGACAGGGTTTGGGGCAACCTGGGACAGTGGGAGGTGTCCCTGCCCAGGATGGGGTTTAATGTCCTTCCATTCCAACTTTAATGTCCCCTCCATAATGTCCCTTCCCTGATTCTCTGACTGATTCTGTGATGCCTCAGCCCTGGGGCAGCTGGGGCACGGCCAGGCATCCCCCAGTCTGACCTCAGAACTGGAGAAGTGCAAATCTGCTGAGTGCTGAATGTCTCTGGGAAGGGGAATAAGCAGCAGTTTCTGTCTGGAAGTTGGGGGGTCAGTTAAACCCAAACCTTTCCAGAAACTTGTCCAGGGTGCAGAGCCCTGCACCAGCGCTGCCTGTGCACACTGCTTTTATTCTTAATATTTATTGCTTTTACTTCCTGATGCTTCTCAGCCCATTGACCAAAGCCAAACATTGCTAATGAGGAGCCAATAATTAACATGGAGGAGACACAAACAAGATATTTCCCAAGATATTTTCCATGGGGATGGCACCAAAGGCAGCATGGGTGGCACTGCCCTGGTACAGTGCAGGTGTGGGATGCTGCAGCACCTGGATGTGGACCAGGATGTTCTGACATGCTTTTAACTCTGTCTTGGTGACCTGCCAGGCATGAGGAAACCCCAGTTAGAGCTGCTGGAGTTTTGGTTTCTCTGTTATTTGTGATAAGCCCCCAAATATTTCTCATGGGAAACATGGAAAGAGGAGTTTTTTGTGGGGACACCAGTGATGTGCAGGTGTGACAGAGGCCATGCAGTGGTTGCAAAGCCTCTTTTTTTTTTTATTTTTTTTTTTTTTTTTTTTTTTTGGGCAGGCTGCTGCAGATGGAGTCCCCCACCTGAGCTGAGTCACTAGTGCCTTGGCTGAGCAAGGGTCCAAGGGAAGGGCAGGGAAGGTTGTGATTGTGTGAAAAAGGAAACCCCACAGGTTTGGGGTCCCACTGAAGGCTGCTCCGGTGTTTATCAACCCCAAACCCCTGCCTCAGTCACTGCAGTCACTACACAGCTTTGTCTCTATGGACATTGACAGCCTGGTCAGAGAGAGAAAGCCAGATCAACTTCCCCAGGAATTGTTCTGGGGAGTTTTGAGAAGGCTGAAAGAACTAAAACAATCTTGCAGCTGGGGTTTGAGCAGTTATTTTCTCATAATGTGTTTACCAAAGGGTGTTTCCTTAATTAGCCAGTGGTGATGGGGTGTTGATTAAATGACCAGCCAGGTCCATCTGTGTCAGAGCAGTGTATAAAAGGAATGGGTTTCTAACAAAAGGAATGGGTTTCTAACAAAAAGGAATGGGTTTCTTGTTATTACCCTGCTGAAGAGAGTCAGAGTTTGTGTCACCTTCTCTTCTGTTCCTGACTCAGCAGTGCCACGTCTCCTCTCCCCACAGACAGAGCTGCTGTGACACTTGCTCACCACGGTGACATTTCAAGAACACCCCTAAAACCCCCTTTTTTTGTGCTCCACAGAGGCTCAGTGTCCCATCCCTTCCATCGCACACGGGCAGCTGATCTCTGCGGAGAACTTCACCCACGGCAGCACGGCCACGCTGCAGTGCGACCCCGGCTTCGTGGGCACTGCCACCACGGCACGCTGCACGCCCAGCGGCAGGTGGTACCCACGGGTGCCCTCCTGCCTCCCAGGTGAGCCCAGGTCCCCTGCTGGCCCCTCCACCTGCAGCCACTGCTCCCGTTCCCCCAGCAGCACCTGGAGGGGTGATTTGAGGAAGCAAATGAATTCCACCACTTTTGGGAAAGTTGTAAAGCCAGTACGTTTATTACAGTGCTGGACACATGTGGGGATCTCTCGGGTTCCCTGTGTCCAAGATGACCTGAGAGTCCCTTTTTCCCAGCCCCATGGTCAAAGAAAGAGTCGGGATTCTTCAGCTCTGCTTCACAAGGTTGTTTATTGTCCATTATCTAAAATACTTTTCTCAGACCTGCAGAGGTCAAGGGCACACTGGGCTGGTGTCTACATTTTATACTATGAACTACGTGTGCTTTATTTATCATTATTTCCCAATACCTATCACCTATGTCAGACTGTCTACTTCTCTTCTAAACCAATCCAAATGTGCCACCATGACCAAGAAGATGGAGGTTAGGAAGAAGCAGGAAGAAGAATAGGACAACACCCAGATCCCTCCATCTTGCCTCCTAGACCCCTATAGTAAAATCCCCAAAACTCCATTTTTCCCCTGGTGATTAATTCATTATTACTCTACTTAAACTTCTGTGACTTGTGATTCTTCATACAAGGTTGGCCATTTGCTCCATGGGTTAAGATGGAAATCCCAAGTGTCTCTGGCTTCCTGCCAGGACCCCCCTGCCAGGGGCACCCAGAGGGGTGTCCTGGGCTCCGACAGGGATTGTTCTCTTTAAAATGACACACGTGCCTCTGGGAACTCCAGATCCTTTCTTATCTCCCTCTCTAATACATGTACATGCAATTTCACAACAGGTTCATACATATTTATTTTACTGATTTCACATTATATTTGCTGCTAATTTTTTTTCATCAGAAAGAACTTCTAGGTCATCCTGCCTTGCCTCCTGCAGCAGCATTTCCATCTATTTCAGAGTTTAAGGGGCCCTCCCTCATCTCTGTCTTTGGCTGAAGCAGTTTCTCTGAGCAAAGGCTTTTTGCAAGAACAGACAGATTAAACAGCTGTGTTTGCAAGCTACAGACTTAATTCAAAGATGTGCATTTCACCTAAATCAAAATAGATTTCTACTCTGGAAAATTTTCACTCTGTCTCAGGGGGGTTGGAGGGTGGGCATCACCAGGAGTGCTGCTGGCTGGTGGGATCCAAGCTGCACCAAGGAAAATATGGGTTGGATGTTAGGAAAAAGTTTTTACAGAAAGGAGAAGTTGTTACAGAAGTTTTTTTACAGATAAAGTTCTGGAATGGCTGCCCGGGGAGGTGGTGCAGTCACCATCCCTGGTGTGTTTAACAAACCCTGGGTGTGGCACTGGGTGCCAGGGTTCAGTTGAGGTGTTGGGGCTGGGCTGGATTCAATGATCTTGAAGGTCTCTCCCAACCTGGTTATTCTGTGAATTCCCTCTGGGATCACCCTGGGGAGCGTGGCAGGGCTGTCCCTTCCTGCAGGGGACACCACGAGGTACCAAAGTGCACAAGAAGGAAGATTCTCACTCAGTTCACATTCTCTGGTGAATTTTCCCCACTCTTTTTCCCTTTCTCTTCACCCCACAGTCCAGCTCAGGGGTGCTGCGTCCCTCACTTATTTTTGGAGTTTTCCAGCAAGGAAAAGCTCCCAATGCTGAGGGTCTGTGTTGTCCCTTGCTCTGACCCCAGGGCAGTGCTGGGGCTCTCTGCTGTCCCTGCTCTGTGTCCCCTGCTGTCCCCAGGGCAGTGCTGAGGCTCTGTGCTGACCCCAGGGCAGTGCTGAGGCTCTGTGTCCCCTGCTGACCCCAGGGCAGTGCTGAGGCTCTGTGTCCCCTGCTGTCCCCAGGGCAGTGTCGCCACCCTCCCGCTGTGGAGTTCGCCGATTTCCAGCCCCGGCGGGAGTTCCCGGTCGGGGCCACGCTGTCCTACTCCTGCCGAGCCGGCTTCTCCGCGATCCCCGGAGTGTCCCCAAGCATCACTTGTCTCCAGAACTTCACGTGGTCCGCGGCGCCCAGGCTGTGCCGCAGTGAGTACATCACAGAGTGACACCGCTGTCACACCCCGTGTGACACATAAACCTTGAGGAATTTAGGAGTTTTAGAGGAGCTAAGATTTTAGTTACAGATAAGCTTTATTGGAGTTAATTAAAATAAATAGGCAGGCCTTGATGAAGTTAAGAGTTAGTAGTTAACTAATTAATAATTGATTGCTTGTTAACACAATGGTTAGCTGGGTTTATGATGAAAGATATAGAAACTGATAAACAGCTTTAGGAAAATAAGACAATTGTGGGCCTCCTCTGTTCTGAAACCAATCGAAGACAGGGAATGGGAGTTCTACCAAGGGTCCATTTGTCATATTTGCATTGAAAAGGTAGAAAGGTCAAAACGAGGAAGACTTCATTTACTTCCTCATTTTGGGACCCCTCCCCATGAAAGGGACCACTGACCCCTTTCAAGGAACAAACTACGCATTCTTAGTAGCTTTTGAAATAATTAGCCTACGAAGTAGGGAACGGGATGTACCAAAATGATGAATATGTATTTGTGTTTTGGGTATTCAATGGTTGTATGGATGACAGGACTCTGTAATCACCTGTAAATCACGGTGTGTATTTGGGAGCTATCCCACACGCTGCCCTGCCTCACAATAACCACACACTTTCTAACTTTAAACTGTTAGAGTCTTTGTCGGTCACAGTTGGATATCGGTAGATATCAATATCCATATTTTTTTAATAAATATGTGCCGGGCCAGCCAGGCTTTCTGCGGCACCTCCGGCTCTGCCTGGCAGTAATTTCGCTGCTCGAAAGGTGGCGTGCCTGGATAGGAAAAGCTGCAGCTCCCCCTGCTTATTTAGAGGCTCCACAAGGATTCAGGGATGCAGCCAGTGCCGAGCCATCCCTGTTTTTTTAATAAATATGTGCCGGGCCAGCCAGGGTTTCTGCGGCACCTTCGGCTCTGCCTAGCAGTAATTTCGCTGCTCGAAAGGTGGCGTGCCTGGATAGGAAAAGCTGCAGCTCCCCCTGCTTATTTAGAGGCTCCACAAGGATTCAGGGATGCAGCCAGTGCCGAGCCATCCCCCAGCGCGATGTTTGCCTGGTGGCAGGGCTCTCACATCCTTCTGCCCTCCAAGAGAAGCGCTTCTTTCCCTGGAATGGCCATCCCTGAGCCTGCCAGCTCTGCCCAGAGGTGTCTGGCAGCTCGGGAAAGCCTGGCTGCTGGCAGTGCCTCTGTGCAAAGCTCTGCTCTCTGCCGTGCTGTCCCCCAGAGGTGCAGTGTCCCAGCCCGGCCATCCCCCACGGGACACAGAGCAGCCCCAGCAGGGCCGAGTACACCTTTGGCGAGCAGGTGGAGTTCCAGTGTGACCACGGCTTCATGCTGCGGGGCAGCGACAGGGCGCAGTGCTCCTCCGACGGGATGTGGAGACCCCCCGTGCCCCACTGTGACAGGGGTGAGTGGCGACAGCGGCAGCAGGGCCGGGAATTCCGTCCGCGGGGAGGGACAGCAGGGACAGAACCGTGTGAGGTGTGAGGAGAAGGTGCCCCAGCCACAGCAGCGAAGGGCTTTGGCATTTCCATCTTCCGCCAAAAGTGGTGAAATGTGTTGGTTAATGGGACTTGCATTTCTGAAAGGATTCTTCAAGGGGTTTATGATGCTCAGCATTCCCCTGACCTTGCTTAGGAGCAGGATGGAAAAGAGGGAGAATAAAGAAGGGGCTGAAGGGGAGAGGACAGATGCTGCAGTGCTGGGGCTGGCTGAGGGTGGGATCCTCAGCCGGGTCACACTGGGAGCACAGGCACAGCTACCCTCGGCATGAACACAGAAAACCTGCCTCTCCTGTTACCTCCCTGTGTTCTGCCTCCCCCATGGAATGAGGAAAACCTGACTTTTCCCTTTCCTCTCACAGTCTGTGGTCCCCCTCCCACCATCAGCAACGGGCAGCACTCTGGCATGGGCTTCAGGAAGTTCACCTACGGCTCTGAAGTGAAGTACAGCTGTGCAGAGGGGCTGTCCCTCATCGGGGACAAGTCCCTCTACTGCACCTCCGAGGATGGGCAGAACCTGACCTGGAGCGGGCCTGCCCCGCAGTGCAGGGGTGAGTGCTTTGGGGTCACCCTGGCATCAGGGCATGGCATCAGGCTGAGCCAGCCCTGGGGGCAGTGCCAGCACTGCCTCTGGAAGTGGCAGACCCTGGTTCTCCTCCGGGCCGTGAATACCCTGCTTTATATCCGAAACACGACCCCGGGGCAGCATCCCTGTCCCTTCTGCTGGCTGGCACTGTCCCTGTCCCCAGGGACAAACCCACTGCTCTGGCACTGTCCCTGTCCCAGGGGACAAACCCTCTGGGCTGGCACTGTCCCTGCCCAGGGGACAAACCCGCTCTGCCAGCACTGTCCCTGTCCCAGGGGACAAACTCTCTGCCCTGGCACCCTCCTGTCCCCAGGGACATCCCTGTCCCCAGACCTGGACGTGGCCGAGGCTCAGGTTGGCTTTGGTCACCCCTGCGGACAAGGAGCCAGGGCTGTCCCCTCGCTGTCCCCAAAGTACGGCTCATGAGGGCCTGTCCTCTCGCTCGGGGCTCCTGCGGCTCTCCCCGCACCCCAAACTCCTGTCCCCAGCCCGTCCCCAGCCTCCTGCCCCATCCCCGCGGCTCGGGGGCAGCGCGCCGGGCGGGGCACGAAGGGGTTAAAGCGCCCGGGGCTGGTCTGCGGGGAAGGAGCAGCCTCCCCTCCCTGTGCACATCTGGATGCAATAAGGGCTGGGGAGGCCGGAGCATTCCTGAGCACTGAGCTAGAGGCTGCTCCGCTGCCGGCCATGGGGCCCTGGCGCTGCCTGCTGCTGCTGCCGCTGCTCGCCCCGGCCCTGCGCGCCCAGCAGCAGCAGTTCATGGAGTACGTGGAGCGCCGCATCACCCTCCTGGAGGTACGGCCCCGAGCGGGGCCCCGCAGCCGCCCCGCAGCCCGAATCGCCCCGTCCCAGGGCGGCCGACCCTGCCCTTCTCCGTGGGGCCGGCGGGGCTGGGAGCGGGGCGGGTGAGGAGGAGCTGGGCTGGGTGAGGAGGTGCAGGGTGTGGGGAGCTCTGGCAGCCCCTGCCGGGGTCCTGCACAGCCCAGCTGTGGATAACGGGGAGCAAGATGGGTGTGGGAGCACTGGGGACAGGCGGATCAGGGGAGCAGGGTCTGGGAGAGCCATGGGGACATCACGGGAACGGGAACATCAGAACCATGGGGACATCACGGGAACAGGAACATCATGGGAAAGCAGGGGCATTGTGGGTGTGGGAGAGCCATGGGGACATCACAGGAATGGGGACATCACGGGAATGGGAACATCACGGGTCTGGGAACATCAGAACCATGGGGACATCACGGGAATGGGAATGTCACAGGAGAAGGAGCATGGCAAGTCTGAGAACTATGGGGATATCACAGGAATGGGAACATCAGAACCATGGGGACATCACAGGAATGGGAACTTCACGGGTCTGGGAACATCATGGAAAAGCAGTGGCATTGTGGGTGTGGGAGAGCCATGAGGAAATCACAGGAATGGGAACATCACAGGAGAAGGGGCATGGCAGGTCTGAGAACCATGGGGAGATCACTGGAATGGGAACATCATGGGAAAGCAGGGGCGTTGTGGGGCTGAGAACCATGGGGAGATCACTGGAATGGGAACATCATGGGAAAGCAGGGGCGTTGTGGGGCTGAGAACCATGGGGAGATCACTGGAATGGGAACATCATGGGAAAGCAGGGGCGTTGTGGGGCTGAGAACCATGGGGAGATCACTGGAATGGGAACATCATGGGAAAGCAGGGGCGTTGTGGGGCTGAGAACCATGGGGAGATCACTGGAATGGGAACATCATGGGAAAGCAGGGGCGTTGTGGGGCTGAGAACCATGGGGAGATCACTGGAATGGGAACATCATGGGAAAGCAGGGGCGTTGTGGGGCTGAGAACCATGGGGAGATCACTGGAATGGGAACATCATGGGAAAGCAGGGGCGTTGTGGGGCTGAGAACCATGGGGAGATCACTGGAATGGGAACATCATGGGAAAGCAGGGGCGTTGTGGGGCTGAGAACCATGGGGAGATCACTGGAATGGGAACATCATGGGAAAGCAGGGGCGTTGTGGGGCTGAGAACCATGGGGAGATCACTGGAATGGGAACATCATGGGAAAGCAGGGGCGTTGTGGGGCTGAGAACCATGGGGAGATCACTGGAATGGGAACATCATGGGAAAGCAGGGGCGTTGTGGGGCTGAGAACCATGGGGAGATCACTGGAATGGGAACATCATGGGAAAGCAGGGGCGTTGTGGGGCTGAGAACCATGGGGAGATCACTGGAATGGGAACATCATGGGAAAGCAGGGGCGTTGTGGGGCTGAGAACCATGGGGAGATCACTGGAATGGGAACATCATGGGAAAGCAGGGGCGTTGTGGGGCTGAGAACCATGGGGAGATCACTGGAATGGGAACATCATGGGAAAGCAGGGGCGTTGTGGGGCTGAGAACCATGGGGAGATCACTGGAATGGGAACATCATGGGAAAGCAGGGGCGTTGTGGGGCTGAGAACCATGGGGAGATCACTGGAATGGGAACATCATGGGAAAGCAGGGGCGTTGTGGGGCTGAGAACCATGGGGAGATCACTGGAATGGGAACATCATGGGAAAGCAGGGGCGTTGTGGGGCTGAGAACCATGGGGAGATCACTGGAATGGGAACATCATGGGAAAGCAGGGGCGTTGTGGGGCTGAGAACCATGGGGAGATCACTGGAATGGGAACATCATGGGAAAGCAGGGGCGTTGTGGGGCTGAGAACCATGGGGAGATCACTGGAATGGGAACATCATGGGAAAGCAGGGGCGTTGTGGGGCTGAGAACCATGGGGAGATCACTGGAATGGGAACATCATGGGAAAGCAGGGGCGTTGTGGGGCTGAGAACCATGGGGAGATCACTGGAATGGGAACATCATGGGAAAGCAGGGGCGTTGTGGGGCTGAGAACCATGGGGAGATCACTGGAATGGGAACATCATGGGAAAGCAGGGGCGTTGTGGGGCTGAGAACCATGGGGAGATCACTGGAATGGGAACATCATGGGAAAGCAGGGGCGTTGTGGGGCTGAGAACCATGGGGAGATCACTGGAATGGGAACATCATGGGAAAGCAGGGGCGTTGTGGGGCTGAGAACCATGGGGAGATCACTGGAATGGGAACATCATGGGAAAGCAGGGGCGTTGTGGGGCTGAGAACCATGGGGAGATCACTGGAATGGGAACATCATGGGAAAGCAGGGGCGTTGTGGGGCTGAGAACCATGGGGAGATCACTGGAATGGGAACATCATGGGAAAGCAGGGGCGTTGTGGGGCTGAGAACCATGGGGAGATCACTGGAATGGGAACATCATGGGAAAGCAGGGGCGTTGTGGGGCTGAGAACCATGGGGAGATCACTGGAATGGGAACATCATGGGAAAGCAGGGGCGTTGTGGGGCTGAGAACCATGGGGAGATCACTGGAATGGGAACATCATGGGAAAGCAGGGGCGTTGTGGGGCTGAGAACCATGGGGAGATCACTGGAATGGGAACATCATGGGAAAGCAGGGGCGTTGTGGGTCTGGGAGAGCCATGGGGCCATCACAGGAACCGGAACATCAGAACCATGGGGACATCACGGGACCGGGAACATGGGAAAGCAGGGGCGTTGTGGGTCTGGGAGAGCCATGGGGACATCACAGGAACAGGAACATCAGAACCATGGGGACATCACAGGAATGGGAACTTCACGGGTCTGGGAACATCATGGAAAAGCAGGGGCATTGTGGGTGTGGGAGAGCCATGGGGACATCACAGGAATGGGGACATCACGGGAATGGGAACATCACGGGTCTGGGAACATCAGAACCATGGGGACATCACGGGAATGGGAATGTCACAGGAGAAGGAGCATGGCAAGTCTGAGAACTATGGGGACAGCACAGGAACGGGAACATCAGAACCGTGGGGACATCACAGGAATGGGAACATGGGAAAGCAGGGGCCTTGTGGGTCTGGGAGAGTCATGGGGACATCATGGGAATGGGAACATCAGAACCATGGGGACATCACAGGAATGGGAACATCATGGGAAAGCAGGGGCATTGTGGGTCTGAGAACCATGGGGACATCACAGGAACGGGAACATCACGGGCCTGGGAACATCATGGGAAAGCAGGGACATTGCAGGTTTGGGAGCTTCACAGGGTCATCACAACAAGGAATGCATCAAGGATCTGGGAGCATCATGGGAGACTGGGGTGCTGTTGTGGGTCTGAGAACCATGGGACATCACAGGAATGGGAACATCAGAACCACAGGGAGATCACAGGAGTGGGAACATCACAGAAGAAGTGACAGTGCAGGTCTGAGAACCACGGGGACATTGCAGGAATGGGAATATCAGAACCATGGGGACATCACAGGAACGGGAACATCACGGGCCTGGGAACATCATGGGAAAGCTGGGGCATTGCAGGACTAGAGCTTCACAGGGTCATCACAACAAGGAATGCATCAAGGATCTGGGAGCATCATGGGAGACTGGGGTGCTCTGTGAGTTCAGGACCATCATGGGGGCATCTTGGGGTTGTCACAGGAGAGCAGGGCCTTGTGGGTCTGGGGGCAGCACAGGAGTGGGGGTATTGTGGGTCTGGGAGCATTGCAGGAATGGGCATCACGGGTCTGGGAACGTTGCAGAAGCAGCACAGGAGCATTGTGTGGTTGGGAGCACCACAGGAGCAGGAGCAGGGTGGGATGGGACCCAGAGCCATGAGCCCCGTGTGGCTCCGGGGGCTCCCCCAGCCCGGGCAGGCTGGCACAGCTGCCACTGGTGAGGTTTGGAGATCTCAATGTCCCCTTGGCCACCCCAGGAGAGGATCTCACAGTGGCACGACCAGAGCAGCCGCTACTCCACAGAGCTGCGGGACTTCAAGAACCAGGTGCTGGGGATGCTGGAGGCGGCCGAGAAGGAGCGGGAGGCGATGAGGGCGGAGGCCGAGAGCGCGGCCGTGCGCGTGGACCGCCTGGAGCGGGAGGTGGACTACCTGGAGACACAGAACCCCGCCCCGCCCTGCGTGGAGGTGGACGAGACGCTGATGGACAAGCAGGTGGCCACAGCCAAGCAGAGGAAGAATGAGAAGTACACCAAGCTCACAGGTGAGGGGCTGCCGTGGCTCTCCGGGGGGATGGTCCTGTCTGAGGGTCACCCTGACCCTTCCCAGCCTACCCCAGTCCAGCTGTCCCTCAGCCACGGGCTGGGGCATTGTGTCTCAGATGTCTCTGGCACAAGCTCCTGCATCCTCCTCGGCCTGGGGGCTGCATCCAAGCCCCAGGCTGGAGCCCTGTGTGTCCCCAAAGCCTGTGGGGCAGGGCTGGGGTGAGGGTGGCTCCTCTGCCCGTGGCATGGGTGCACTAGGGGACTTCTCAATGCCACCAAGGATGCACTTAAACCCCTTCAGTGAATTTCCAAGGCAGTTGCCTGAGGGTCTGGGTGGGACAGGGTGAGAA